CATCATCATATCGCAACCTATACTAAATATTTTTCGGCGTGTAATCAAAAAACTGAAGATTACACAGTATGTGTACATGCACGTATGTACATAAACATAGTATGAAGCATTTGATGTTGTATAGTGCATGTTACATATTGCACGGTCTCCGTCATATCTACATGTACATCCTGTACATTTATATGCATCATGCATCATGTATCAGGGACCATGCATACTGTCATTAAGTGCCCGACAGCACGAATTGGTCCGGCCACGCAAGCTCCTGTCGAATCCTTTTGTAGAGTTAATTAATGAGTATTAACCGAAGTTATAGTTTTGTACTACATAGTAATAGTTTTGAGGCCGCAGTATTCAGCCTTGCTCCCTGTAATGTGGCTCCTGCGGTAGCTGCACGGCAGGGCTTGTGTCAAAAAGGAGCTCCGAGGCGGTAGTGGCTTTGGAACGTAGGTACAGCTCATCTGTCAGGGCAAACCTTACCCCAAAGGCCCTGCCGCAACAGCATAGACCATCCGTGAGGATATCACTATCTACGGCGACGGCTCGCAAACGCGGTCGTTTGGCTACGTGGATGACACGGTGGATGGGCTCATCCGGCTCATGAACCAGGCCGGGCCTCCCACTGTTCTGTGGCACTAGCAGGACTTCCCGATGCTTCTGTTAGATTTCTTGGGGAGGTTTCTCGTAGCATATCTGATGTGCCCTTTATCACGGTTGCTGGGCCTGGGACAAAGACGGCCATTGTCGTCGTTCTACTCGGCAATGCTCTTTTCGCTTCAGTCCGTGCTAGCTGTTTGGCTGGATGTTGGCAGAAATCATACTATGCTACTGTACCGTACTGACTGTAAGAGGCTTTGCTGTGCTATGCTATGCTACCAATACTACTGCGAGTGCTAATGTGAATACTCTTGTCAAGTGCATTCATATAAGTAGTAGTAGTAGTAGTAGTAGTAGTCGTCGTCGTCGTCGTCGTCGTCGTCGTCGCATAATACGCTGGCTAAGATTAAGACTAACATAAGTCGAGTACCAATTTAGTACCGATACAACCACCAATGCGAAGACCGAGACTAATACGAATACCAATATTGATACGAATACTAAAACTGATACGAATCCTCATTTTAATATTAAGACTAATTCTCAGACTAATACCAACACGAATACCATGCTTCAGAAGAGCGGCGTGCCTGCGGAGGAGAAGACGATCGGGCCCATAAATATCGGAAACCCGAATGAGTTCACCGTCAAGGACAGGCTCTGGCAGTCCAGGGTTTTTTTGGGGGAAATCGGCTGGAGCTGCGAGACGTCTGTCTTGTCAGAATGCTGAGCAATGGGAGAGAGAGAGAGAGAGAGAGAGAGAGAGAGAGAGAGAGAGAGAGAGAGAGAGAGAGAGAGAGAGAGAGAGAGAGAGAGAGAGAGAGAGAGAGGGAGAGAGAGGGAGAGAGAGAGGGATAGAGAGAGGGAGGGAGAGAGGGAGGGAGAGAGAGAGAGAGTGTGAGAGAAGTAGTGGCGTCAGACTTCTCGTTTTAGCGTCATCTGTGACTTGAGTCCGTCAGCGGCTGCAGGTCGAACCCCCCCGTACGCAAAAATCTTGTCCATTTGTGGCATTTATCGTCACTTGGCCCCAAACTTCCCTGAACCCTCAACCTGATACCCGAGTCCGCTGGCCCATTAGCGCAGAGCAGGATTGTGGATCAGCTGCGGCTTAAGGTGCAGGGATCAAAGCTCACTCCCCAAGCCAGGGGTCGAAGAATTGGGTCATACTCACCCCAGAACGTACCGTTTATAGCCGCTGTATAAATTTCCTATTCTGCTTCTTCTTAACTACCTACACCCCTAAACCCGAAGAATTCCCTTCCCCCCACGAGTCCTCAAAGCCACGATGTTCTGAGGAGCTCGCTGAGATGGTTGTCGAGCTGACCGGCTCTAAGAGCCCTTCGGAGCTGAAGCGAAGGGGCCTCCTCTTCCTTTTTGTCTTTTTGTTCTTATGAGTCTTAATACTCTAATACTTTTTATTGTTATTCTTAGTGCTCTTATTGCGATTATGACGGTGATTGTTATTATTCTTCATATTATTCCAAAACTGATCGTATTGTTCTGGTGTTAAATATTACTGTTCTGTTTGTTCTAACCATTCTCATGAGCATGGTTATCACCGTTATTGGTAGTTCTCATTCGTATTATTGGAAGTACATTCGGCTCTGGGAGTTTGGGGGTTCAGGCTTTTGGGAGGTTCTGTTGGTTTGATGAACCCAAACCCTAGAGCCCCACAGCCCCAAACCACAACAGCCGCGAGTCGAAAGCCTCCAGGCAAGATCGTGTACCTGCCCCTCCCGGGCGACGACCCAAAGCAGCGGCGACCCAACATCCGACGCGCAAAGGAGCTGTTGGACTGGGAGCCCAAGGTGCATCTCATCATAGCAATAGCGTAGGAAAGCTCCTGACAAGAGCAATCGTGGAATCGTGGTGGTGGGTGATGGCGGGTGTGGTGATTCGGGTGGAGTTGCAACAGCCAGAAAACGCTAAACCCTAAGCCCTCAGAATTTATCCCTCCTCACGTGGAGGTGCAGCTGCGAGAAGGCTTGCAAAAGACGATTGAGTACTTCAAGGAGCGGCAGAGCGGAAGTGTGCGGATGTGGGTTTAAGGGTTTAGGGTTCAGGGTGGAGCGGCAGTGTGCAAGGGTGCGGGTTTTCAGATGGGGCAGGTTTCGGATCATCAAAGCGTGGGACCCCAAAGCCTACAGCCGAAGTCCTCGACCCCCAAGGGGTTCTAGGTAGGAGATATTTCAGATCCGGGAGGTTTGCAAGGGTTCAGGACCTCAAATTAAATTCGAGTGTTTGAGGGCAGAGGGAGGGACTGTAGACTGGACGCTTTAGGGGTGCAGAATGCCCGGGTTTGGCGCTTCGGAGGTCGAGTCTGGATTTTTGAGTCTTGGGTGCAGCGGATTGGACGTAGACTTCGGAGTGCCAGATCTTGGGTCTGTGTGGTCTTGTTGTACTTTATGGACCCTGGTAGAGGATCTGAAGCTTAGGGCTAAGAAATAAACCCTGAAGCTCAAGACGCGGTCATAAAGCCCGGTACAACGCCATAGGCTTCATAGATTAGCATATTGACCATGACTAAACCTTGCAAAACCGTTTTAAAGACCTCAAGTCAAGACATTCCACCAGAGCCCTCCCAGGCCCTGGACCTGAGAAAGTACGGCAAGCCGACCGGCCATACAGCGCACCACAGTACTATGAACCAGGACAGGGGCATAGGCTGTTCTGAGCCTCGGGCTCTTTTGGTGGGTAGGGGGGGGGGGGGTGCGGGTCTAGGGAGAGGGCGTCGGGGTTTTAGAAGTTTGGGGTTCCCGAAGCCCCTGAACCCCACTTGGAGGTTCATGGGTAGTTATAAGTGGGGTTCTAAGTAGGGCAACTATAGCTTTTAACACATATTAGAGGACTTATAACCCCACTTATAACTCCCCCATGAACCTCCAAGTAAGCCCTAAACCCTATACCCTTATAGAACCCCAAAAGAGCCCTTTAAAGGGACCCTTAATATTTAACTTACACATATTAGAGGACTTATAACCCCACTTATAACTACCCATGAACCTCAAAGTAAGCATGAAGCAGGAGGGGATCTTGGGCTTCGGGCCTCTGGTTTCGGGGTTCGGGGTTTGGGGCTCAGGGTTCAGGGTTTTTAGGGTTTATAAGGTTTAGGCTTATGCCTGAAGTTTTGGGGTTCGGGGTTTAGGGTTCAGGGTTTCAGGGTTAAGGGAAAAGTTTAGGGTTGAGTATAGGGTTTAGGGCGTGAGTCCTTTTAACCATGGTATCCTTTTGCAGTCCGTGTGTGGCTATACAAGAACATACGATACCACCCCGAATAAACAACGCTGTTGTAGTTGCTGAGCTCCACATAGTATGGAGTGATGCGGGGGGCTAAAGCTGCCCCGACCTCATTTTCCGTCAAGCTAGCAAGCTAGCAGCTTCCCATTTGCAGCTTTCCATCCCAGAGAGCCACCGTTATCGAAGCCTGTGACTGACATCTCGCGCAGGAGAAGGTGACCAGAAGGCTTTCATATGCGATCTGCTGAGTATGCATCGATCAGGTTATTCTCCACTTCGCGCATGAACGAAAAAGACGGGCCCCAAGAGTCGATGAATGTAGAAACTCCAGTACTACCTTTTTAGAGCCCTCGGTATCGATCCCTGACAGTACTGCCTGAGCTTCTCGGTTATATATCCCCTATCTAACCCTTGTACATCCCCTATAGATCGTTTTTGGAAATTGTTGAGGATCTCCCTTTCTGTTGGCTGCTGCTTTGGTAAGTTGGGGGTGTGGCTCTGGGCGCTCTGGCGGCCTGAAAAGAATTATGTAGCGCTCTTGAAGGGTTTCTGCCGCTTGAACGGTTTCACAAGGGTTTACAAATGGTAGTATTCCCGTGAAGGAACCCTTAAAGCAATCCTTGCAGGAACCCTTACAGTATATACATATATATATATATATATATATATATATATATTTTTATTTATTTTTATATATATATATATATGTCATATGTATATATATATACATACATACATACATATATATATATGATATATATGTACATATATATATATATATATATATATCAATAGAATGTCATAATCCCATGCCTTCCGGTTCAATTCGAGCTCCCAAGCATGAGGGCCTGCAGCCGCAAATCCTTTCCGATGCTGCGCGGTTCAGGGTTTTGGGCTTAGGGGCCTTTAGGGCGGATGGTTTGGCGCCAGTTTAGGATTGAGGGTGTACGCTCTAAAGCCCTTTCAGGGCTTAGGGCCATGAATCCAAAGCTTTAGGTTGTTTGCCTTCTGAAAGTACGAAGCTCTAGCTTCGAGCTTCGGATTCTGGGACCACGGTCTTGCATCCCCAAACCCTAAACTTTTGATCCCAAACCCTAAGCCCCAAATCCCAAACCCTAGACACTAAACCCTGACCCTGAAGCCCAAACCCGAAGCACTATTGCCAGGTCGCTTGGCAGCTTAGCAGCAGCGCCGTGCTCCGGAGCTCACGAGGTACAGGTGGGGACCTTTCGGCTTGCAGCAAGCAGGGTTTAGGCTTCAGGGCTAGGGGTTGGGGTTGAGGTTTAGGGTCTGGGTTTGGGGCTTATGGTTTAGTAAAGGATGGTGTAGGATACAGGGCTTAGGATCTCTGTGGCGACTGTGCGCCGTGAAACCCTAAGCCAAAAGCCCTAATACAGGAGCCTAAATAATTACCTATACTACTTTGGGGGTTCCTTGTTATAACTATGTTATAGCAAACACCAAAACCCTATTCTAACTAGTAAGGCCCCTATGTTAATGTCCGAGCCCTTTAAGCCCCGAAGCCCGAGATTAGTAGCTTGAAGCCACAAGCCCTTATCCTCTTTCGTGCTGTTGTTGGGTTTCGGGCTTACGGGCACACCCTCCACGATCAGCCCGCAAATCCCTCAAGCACCAGTTTATCAATCAAACTCATACAGCACTCAACCCTACATTCTAAATCCGAAACCCCCCTAAACCCTGAGCCCCAGACCCTGAATCCTTAGCCCTCAAGCCTGAACCCAAGCGTACCCTTAACCAGAAAGCCTCAAAGCCTAAGCCAGGTGAAGACCAGCTTCAGCGCGACGCGAAGGACCCGCCATGGGGAAGAGCCGACTTCGCCTTGTGTTTTTGGGACGGGACGCTTTCGGTGTTTTTTTTGTAGGATATTTGGGGTTAAGGTAGGGCTTGGGCCTTGAACCTTCTCGGTGCAACTCCGGATCATCAGCCCCAGAGTGGGTACCATGCTAGATGCCTTGTAGCTTTTGCTTTTAATTTGGGTTCTGGGGCTTCTAGGGCTTTATGGATGCTTCAGGCTTTCGGGGCTTCGGGGTCTTATGCTGGGATTGTTCAGGGGTTGGTCGAGCTTGGCGCTCCCCGAGCCCTAAATCCCTGAACCGGAAACATCGCTAAAGCCGTCAGCCCTGAACCTCAAACTGACTAATCCCCAAACCCTGAATCCTCAAAACCCTAAACTTGACCGTAAACTCTAGAGTACAGGCAGTGTCGAAGTGAAAGTCTGGGAGCTGTCCGGTGGCTGCAGGGATTTTTTTGGTTAGGTTTGGGGATCCGGGGTTCGGTTTCAGGGTTTAGGGCTCCTTTGATCTATGTTTGGGTTTTGGGTTGAGAGTCTAAGGTTGAGGGTCTAGGTGATGGGTGTAGGGTTAAGGAGGATGGGTTCACGGTTTCGGGTTGAGCGTTTCGGAATTGGGGTGTCGGAATAGCTTCTCCTCGTTGGGCCTGGGATTTCGAAAGCCGCCCAACTCACATCCCTGCCACACGCGTCTTGCGCAGTCAGTTGCAGCCCTGATCTCTGTGTGGAATGCGCCCTAAACCCTACTGTAGCGGCCTCATTGCCCATACTGTTTTGGAGGCTCCTCGTTATAATCATAGTATAATATACCCTCAAACCCTATTCTAGTTATTGAGGTCACTATGTTAAACCCTGAACCCCGTGACTTGTGCTTGACTGTGGCCTTCACAACGAGCGGTTGGCAGCTCGTGCTTCGCTTCGTCAGAGAGCATCGCATCGTAGAGGGTATCCTGGCAAGTGACGCACTGCGTTGCTCACACTTTCGGTCGGCGGATTCCGGACCCTAGCTGCAACAGCCACGAAAGACGTAGACATCCAGGAGAGCCGCCATGCCACTCAGGCAAGGTTTACCGCCATGACCAAATCGGTGGACAAGTCCTGCACAGTGCATGGCGCAAGTGCGGGCAAGATCTATATTGCTTGAGGAGACCTGTCGCGGCTGGCCGTGCTTTGCCAAGCCCGAGAGGGTAGCCGTGCAAAAGCTTTTCTAGATGTACCGGTCCGCTCGGCAGTTCCCGTGTTGATACCATGCTCTCCTTCTTGGAGTGGGACCTTGGCTGCAGCGATACGGCGGACGGCAGCACGGCAGAGGTAGTGTGCCGCCTGGCTTTCTGGACTGTGGGTGTCTGCGCTGTGAAACAATAACACCAACCGCAAAACTTCAATCCCTCTGGCGTTGATGATTTGAAAACAACTGCGTGTTATAGGCTTGAACCAGCGGTTCTCTATTCAGGGACCTAGATACTCAATAGTAGTCTTCAGGGTTCCTTTTACATCTATACCACAACTTTAACCTACCCCAAGCCCTGTTTTGAATATCAAGCCCCTAGGATAGCATAGTCTCTTCCGGAGCCTGAGTGTGCCTGCCTTCTTCAGGCATTCGCTGCGAAGGTGGTCATCGCCTTCCACCCAGTGTGAGGTAGCGCAGGGACACAGCAACCGTTATCAGTATCCCCTGTAAAAGGCCCCTGAAGGGCCTTATGAATGTTTAGGTGTGTTTGGTATGCACCCTCTTAGAGTCCCTATGTAATCAGAGGATATCATGCCCCGGAACCACATTCTGATTTTTCAGGTTTGACTGCGCTGGCTGTGATGCAACAGGCGAAGACTCCACCCAACAGACATCGAACAGCAACGCATCGTACACCTCAGCATGGGGACACCACTTCGACAAACCAGCCTCTTGAATAGAAAATATTTCTTATCCCTCAACCCCAGACCGTTCATGCCCTGAATCTCTGCCCTACAGACCAATACTGTGCACTAGAGATCCGTGTTTTATCTCGGAAGATGGACTATCCAAAGAACGTTGCAGGTGTTTACGGGGAGACTGGAATACGAAAGCCTGCAGGATCGGGAATGAAGTCCTTTCCCGTCGCATGAAGCCGGTATCATATAAGGGATCTGCAAGGGTTCCTTTAAGGGTTTAGGGTTTAAGGCTTCAGTTTTCATTTGCCTTTTCTGGTGGAAGAAGTGACCCACCACCGGCCCAACTCTGCCTGCTTGGGTCTGCACTCTCCATCCCTATGCTTTCAAGATTGGATTACTGCTAACTCCTAAAACCCTAAAGCCCTCAAACCCTAAAGCCCTAAAGCCCTGGAGCCCTCAAACCCTAAAGCCCTAAGGCCCTAAAACCCTAAAACCCTCAAACCCCTGAAACCCTCAAGCCCTAAAACCCTAAACCCCAAACTCTAATCCTTCAAACCCCTAAACCCCCAAACCCTAGACTCTAAACTCTCAACCCTAAAGCCCTAAACCCCTTAACCCTAAACTCTAAACTCTCAACCCTAAAACGCTACCCCCTTCGCGTCGAGGCTCCGAAGCCCACGGAGCTGGCCGAGGGATCCCTCCGAGCTGGAGAGGTTTGGCCTTCGAGGGGTTTAGGGTTTAGGGCTCCTTTAAGGGATCTATAAGGGCTACTTTAAGCTACTACAGGGTTTAAGGTTTAGGGTTTAAGGGTTTTAGGGGTTTAGGGGTTCAGGGTTTGTTGCCGTTGTTAGTTTGTCTGTCAAACTTTTCGTCGTATAGGGTTTGAGGGTTTAGGATATACATATATATGTATATGTATATACATATTTGTGGTTTGTTTTGGAGGCTGGGGGGGTGGGTTTAGGTTTTGGAGTTTGGGGTTTAGAATTATTGTGGGATTTCTTACAAGGAGGTGGCCTTCATTCAGGGTCCGTATAATGATAAGGTTCCTGTAAGGTTTGGGTAAGTGCTTGGCTTCTCATGATGGACCCCCCGTCCCTCCCGGCAGTAGGAGTTGCGAGTATATGTCTGTTTTCGCTAACTTTCTGTTGCATTCCGGTGGCTAGTAGAAACGATACATGATTCTATGTCTTGTTCCCACTTCATTGGCTAGGCTTCTGTGCTCAGACTTTCTCGTCTGCACGTAGGAAAAAGTAGAAACACCTGTCAGGGCGTAGGTGTGGTGGAATTATGTCCAGGTGTCTTTCTGAGGAGCTCGGCTGTGTCTGGAGTTCACGGTACCCTAAACCCCAAGAGTCCCAAGCCCTAAAGTCAATCCTAAACTAAGGCCTTTACCCCAAAACCTTAAATTCTCCAAAACCCTAGGCTCTAATCCGCCATGAGGGCTTTCAGTTTGTGACTTGGCCGTGTACCATGCTCAGTTTTTTGGGTGGTCGTAGATGGATCTCTTCAGTTAGGTGCTGCTTTACTCATGCCGAGAAAGAGCCATTGCAAACAAAAGAAAATGAAACCGCAACACTTCGAACCCTGAACTCTAGCCCTCAAATCCTAAAGCCCGAAACCCCTAAATCCTAAAGCCTGCGGCCCTCAAGCTCTACACCCCAAACCCTTCTTCTCACCCTTATCCCCTATGGCAACCCTTACAGACTTACGGGCTTATAGTTGATCCCTGAAAGGAGCCCTTCATCTCTTGCATCCATTAGAACCCAGACCTCCTTTCACTCCTTTCTCCGGAGACCTGCTTCGACACCATCGCAGACTGGAAGGATGTGCAAGGAGACTCGTCCGGCCGCCACGGTTTGGACCGCTTTTTGGGGTTCATGTACGGGCTCTAAGAACAGTGCTTTCAGGGTTTCAGGGTGTTGAAGGAAGTGCGGAGTGTAGCGTTTAGGGTTGAAGGGTTCAGGGCTTTAGATTTGGAAAGCTTCTTAGGGGCTGGGGTGGAGAGTGCCCGTCGAAAGGCTTAAAGGTTCAGAGTTAAGGGTTGGATCCGGGCTGCCGGTCAGAGCAAAGAAAAAACAGAAGCCGCCATCTTCACATATCCTCGCAAGCAAAATCGTAGTAGGCCTGTAGCACCCGTAACAACAGCAAGTGGTGTTTTAGGAAAATGGCACTCAGAATCTTCGAAAACATACAGTACTGATGAGAGCAATCATCAGGGCCTTTGGATTAAACCCTCCCGCGCTCCCTCTTCTCCAGTAAAGGGAACTCCAGAAAGTTGGAATATGGTTTCAAGGTATAGGATACCCTATAATTTACCATAAAGGGTTTAGGATAATCATATTCCAACTTTCTGGCTTTTACTGTATGGGCATCGGCGACGTGTGCTTGCACAGCTGCAGGTTTCAATACAATCCTGAACAAAGAGACTGGCCCATCCCCCCAAAAAGGCACATGAAGAAGCAGCAAGCAAAGGACCGACACAAGCAACAACTTAATATGGTGGCCTTAATAATTACCTACTATTTTGCGGGGTTCCTTATTACAAGTATAGTACAATGGGCCCCCAAAACCCTATTCTAATTATTAAGGCCCCTATATTAAACCCCGAGCTGTGTTTTTGGCGGCAGTCGACCCGGCAGGTGCCAGTCCTATCACGACAACCAGTATTGCATGGCACCCAGTGTGGAGTCCATGTTAAACTCACAAGGATCCGGAGGGGGGGAGGGGGTAGCGGGGTAAGGGGCCTTGATACCTACGATAAGGAATTAGTAAGGCCTGTGCACAAGCTGCAGCGATGCTCGCAAACCCCTTGGCGCGAACCAACATCCGAAGCCGTGAAGGTAAGACAGACAGAATTCGAACATCTTCGAACCTACACGCTGCTGCTGCTCCTCCTACAGCTACTGCTGCTACTACTATTACTACGACTACTACGACTACTACGACGACGACTACTACGACTACTACAATTGGCCCCTGCTACGGCCACCGCTACTGCTACTCCTAGGAAATGCGTGTAGTCCTGACAGCATCTTCAGTCCAAGTTCGTAATGGCAGCAGAGCCGAAACCTTCAGTGCTTTCCTGACCACTGGGAACCTACACCTTGGAACGTCAGACGGCAAGTTCCCAGACCCTGAACCCCTCAACACGAGAACCACCCATTCCCCCAATTTTTGTCCTGCTACCGCGGGAAGTTGACTTAGGTGATCGCAAGAACGGAGTCTTCTTCGGTACGAAGACCGCCTTGGCCCAAGCCCAGACCGGAGGTTGCAGCGCTCCGAATGAGTTTTAGTTCTGGATACCAATTTCGCGACTTGAGGTTTGCCCTAGCTCAAAACCCTTAATCATACGTACCTTCGAAACTTGAAGCCCCAAGCCACCAGACCTCCAGATATCCGGATTAAGCTTCAGGGTTTTGGAGTTCGTGGCTCTCCTCTCAACATATGAGTTTGAAGCGATCCGTGTCCTTATAGCCCTTTCTAGTTGAGTTCAGGGTTCCTTCGCCACACATGCGGGGCTCTTGCTACCGGCCGAAGACCTTCCAGGAAAGGCTATGGAAACGCAGAACTAAGGCACCCGAATATAGACCCCGAAGAGGGAGGATCCTGTATTTGAGGGAACTCACCCTTAATAAGACATCTACATAATGAATTGCACCCAGCAGCAATGGGCTCCAGCAGAAAAATCTTCGTGGTCCAGTTTTTCAATTCGAATCAGGAGTTAAAAGGGGTTTAGGCCTACAGTTCCCCACAAAGAAAGCAAACTCACGAGCCCCCAAACCCTAAACCCTAAACCTCCAACCCTTTAAAGCCCTAAACCCTAAACCTCCAACCTTTTAAAGCCCTAAACTTCAAACTCTAAACCCCTAAACCCAAAACCTGCCCCCGCCGGCCAGGCCATGATGTTGTACCACGCTGGCCCGGACTCTCCGGCTCAGGTGTGCTGCCACTGTGGTGGCGGGGTCATCAAGGACTGGGTCACGGGTTTGAGCGGCCTTTAGGGTTGAGGGTTTAGGTAGGGTTTTAGGGTTTAGGGTATCAAGGACTGGGTTAATATAGGGGCCCTTATTATGGTTATAGCATAATGGGCCCCGAAACCCTATTCTAGTTATGAAGGTAGGGTTAGGAAGCCGCAAGGACCCACATACTAGTCCCACCCAGTCGCTGAAGCACTAAGTTTTGACCCAAAATTGCCAAACCCTAAACCCAAACCTCAAACCTGGAATTTCTTACTAAGCCCTAAATCTTGAATCAAGGACACCCAACAGTGGATTCACTTGGCAGGGAAGGGTCGGCTTAGCCAACCGGGTTGCAGAACGAACAAGTGATATTCACTTAAATGCATGGCCACATGCATGCATCTACGCGTGTATGTATGCGTATGTACGCTGTATGTATGTATGTATGTATGTATGTATGTATGTATATATATATATATATATATATATATATATATGCTAGCCCCCCCCCCCAAGACCAACCCTAAATTCCCTAAATTCCCTCCCCATGTGTTGGATTTAGGGAATTCCCTATTTCCCTAAATTCCCTAAATTCCCTAAGTCTGACCCCCATGGATAAAATTCAGTCGTTTCCGTTCATGGGTAGGGAATTTAGGGATTTTAGGGAATTTAGGGAAATAGGGAACTCCCTAAATCCAACACATGGTCCTGGTTGGGATTCAGGAAAGTTAGGGAATTCGCTAAAACCAACACATGGGGCTGGAAATTAGGGTATGTAAAGACTTTAGGGATTTCGGGAATCTGCAGGAACTCACGCGTTCTGTAAATTCGAGGCATGGAGGCAGTGATTAGACAATTTAGGGAACTCAACCTCGCGACGTCGCCGGTTGACGGATTTGTGCAACTGATACTTGTAGTAATATTGATATTATTTTGAAAACTTTGAAAACTATAATACTCGTACGAGTACTAATACTTATAGTAACACTACTGGTGAAACTGATAGTAATGCTATGTGAATACTGATGTTCCCAAGAATACTAGAAATCATGTACGTTGTAAGAATAGACTTGATGCGAATACTAATATACATACTATAGCTAGTATTATCGCTAATATGAATATTGGCTACGCATATTCGTGAAATACTCATTTTCGGAATACTCATAGTCATGCTAATATTAGCATTAAGGGTAGTGCGAACGTGCATAATAAAATGCTCATACATGAATGTTAGTATTCGAATTTATATCAGCATTGGTATGTTTTTCAGTAGTACTAATAACTCATACGAAGAGTAACCTCAAGTTTCATATTCCGACGAATACCAACGCATGTTTTGTTCATGCTATTTTTAATTCTACTACTAGTATCTACTCCTAGTATTTACAAATTGTACCAATACCAATTTTAACACTGATGTGAACACGATCCTTAATGTTCTTGCCAATACGAATATGCATAGTAGTATTAGTTAGCATTGATGTAGAGGAAAACTACTGTTCTTACGAATACTAATAATCATGTTCCCCTTTTATATTCATATAAGAATCGTCATTCCTAGATACGTACTGATGCTAGTACTCATGCTAATACGAGTATTAACACCAATACAAACATAAGTATGAATATTCTTACGGGTATTTATGCTCATGTTCTTAACAAAAGTATTCTCAGTACGAATGCCGACATTAATAGTCTCTTTAGAACAATATTGATATTAATCTGAACACTAATACTTCGGCTAGTACGAACATGCATAATACTATGAAAAAGATTTGTGCTCATACAAATATAGAAAGATTATTCCATACTCATATTAATATCGATACCAATATGAATTTACAAACATCATATTAATGTCAGTATCGTTTTTGTAATGTATACTACAGAATACATCAGAATAAGGCACAAGAAAATGAATGCATCAGATTGTTAAAAACTCAATGTTTTCATTTACCAATATTCATGGTTATAGTATACTCATATACTAATAAATTAATATACTAATATACTGAGAAACTGATTACCAATAGACCATTGTTACTAATATACCAATATACGAATATACTGAAAATTGTTTTTGTTAATATACATGTTTTGTTTATATACCAATATACTGAATATACACATATGAATACTGATACACATAATGTACTAAGACTAAGTTTTTAAGGCCCAGCCCACGCACTAACACTGCTATAGACATATATTAAATTAAAACTGGAGCACTAATACTCATATTAATATTAAGACTAACACTGACGTTGACACTGACACCAGCATCAGCACTAACAGGAACATTAATCAAACGAACAGTAATATTGGATAGACACAGCAGCATTATTAGAACTTCTAAAATTAGTAATGACACAAATCTAATACTAATGCTAACGCTAGCAAAAATATTAAGGTTACTACTCACAATAATGATAGCAGTACTAAGGTTAAAACTTAGAACAAAATTAAGTCAATACCGATGTTAACAATATTTTTAAGACTGAAATTAAGAATAAGACTTTGACAAGATGACGATAGTTAATAAAGGATGAGGCACACAAACTGGACTCTGTCTTTTACCACTCCGACAAGACGCGCCGAGACTGTAAATGGTGTCCATAAAACTGAACCGTGTTTTTTACCAGTCTGTCAAGAAGCGTCGAGAGTGCAAACTTTGTACGTGAACACAAACACCATCGGTATTTACAGTGGTTTCGGCTCTTATCCATGACGCTGTGAAAACAGTAATGTGCAGGACAATGGTCGAGGTTGGTCCTGGGGGGGGGGGGTTACCCTATACATATATATATATATATATGTGTGTGTGTGTATATGTATGTATGTATGTATGTATGTATGTATGTCCGTCCATCCGTCCGTCCGTCCGTCCGTCCGTCCCTCCGTCTGTCTGTCTGTCTGTCTGTGTTTATGCATGTATGTATGCATGCATGCATGTATGTGTGCATGCATGTATGTTTGAGCATGTTTACATATACCTATACCTACACCTATGCCGATACCCATACATGCACATACTCGACACAGAGAGAGAGAGAGAGAGAGAGAGACAGAGAGACAGAGAGACAGAGAGACAGAGAGACAGAGAGACAGAGAGACAGAGAGACAGAGAGACAGAGAGACAGAGAGACAGACAGACAGACAGACAGACAGACAGACAGACAGACAGACAGACAGACAGAGCGAGAGAGAGCGAGCGAGAAAGAGATAGTGACAGAGAGAGAGAGCGAGAGAGAGACAGAGAGAGACAGAGAGAGAGAGAGAGGGAGAGAGAGAGAGAGAGAGAGCGACAGAGAGAGCGAGAGCGAGAGAGAGAGAGAGATAGAGCGAGAGATAGAGCGAGAGATAGAGCGAGAGAGAAAGAGAGAGAGAGAGAGAGAGAGAGAGAGAGAAAGAGAGAGTTTTGTGGTTCCTCTAAGACCCTACTTGCGGAGCTGCTCGCCCTTCTCACTCAGCCCTCCTTGTGTTCACATTTCCGGACGATCCCAACAAAACATTAGCCAAGTTCGAAGAGCCTGCGCCTGCACAGACAAGTGATCCTGGAAGATCAAACTCCAGTCTGATCTTGGTGCGCTTGCCTTGGAGCATCTTCAATATGCCACCTCATGAGCAGATGAAATACTGACGTGCATATAGAAGGGTTTGTAGGCAAGCATACCATTGTCATCATTACCTCTGTACCTAACGTTGCCACTATTATGAATCCTAGTACTTTTGTTTTACACACATTCGATGCGGGCCCATGGGCCCCTGCACCTGTCGCCAGTGATCACACCCAGCCTCAACCATCAAGTTTGGAAGTTTAATGTAAGGGCCATAATAATTAGAACACTATTTCGGGGGGTTCCTTATCACAAGTACCCCCAAACCCTATTCTAGCAAAATCAGCTTCTTGAAAACTCCTTTCGCACGCATTTACTTGAGCCCAAATGGCAAGCATTGGCAAGCATCTGAATCCTGTGTGTGCTGTCAGAAGTTGTTGAACTTCTCCTCTGAGCCGCGTAACCTTACTCGTAGATGTCCTTCTCCGAAGGACTTTTTTTGTACAAATTCTCGACGATTGGTCATAAAACTATGACTCGATGCTTAAACGCATTGATGATATCGTCTCTAAGCTTAGTTAGGAAGTCGGCTCAAAGATAGCTGAGAGTTCAACGGATGTACAAGTCATCTCCAGCTTCATTCGCACCAGACTCATGTCCGCATCGACCCCCAAACCCTATTGTAGTTATTGAGATTTTTATAGGACCGCTACAGTAGGCCAGTTAGGCTCTTGGGCTTTGGGGTTCCAAAGGCCGTGGGAAGGGCCGGGCCATAGCAGAAGGCACCAAAATGTAATGTAGGGGCCTTAGTAAGTAGAATAGGATTCCTTTAAATGTGACTATAAGGACTATTGTAAGGGTTCTGTCATGTATGGGCCTTAAACATAGAATAGAGTTTTGGGGATATATTATACTATAATTATATTCAGGAATCACCAAAACCCCATTTTAATCAATTATTAAGGCCCCTACATTGGGTGGCAGGAGTGCGACGAGATGTGCCGCTTGCTGAAGAAGCACGAAGCAAGTGAAATTGAGCCCGGGCCCTTCTGCTGTTTGAGAGTGACCACTGTAGACGCCTGAATAATTAGAATAGCGCTTTGGGGCCCATTATACTATACTGATAATAAGGAACCCCCAAACTAGTATAGGTAATTATTAGGGCCCCTATATCATCCTTTAGAGGAACCCCTTAAAGGACCTCCTCGCCAACTCCTGAGCCTGGAGCATCAGAGCCCAAACCCGAAGTTTGAGGGTTCGGAGGCGCAGGGTGCACAGTTTACTTTAGGGTGCAGGGTCTCGGGTTCAGGATTTAGGATCAGGGGTCCAAGGCCAGGGAAATTTAAGGCTCGGAATCAGGCTTTGCGATGTACAGGGTTCAGGTAGGCTTAAGGCTTTAGGGATTGCTGCGACCTCCAAGACCCAGATTGAGGGAACCCGACGCCCCCCCGCGTCTCGGCCGAGATCCAAATTCGATGCCATGCGAGACGCTGCAGGTGCCCGGGTCTTCGCGGGCTTAGGGTCATAGTTTTTCGGTCGAGGGTTTTGGGTTTCTTCATGGAGTCTATAAGGGTTACTCTGAGGGTTATATAGCAGCGCTTTCGTGGTTTTTGGGGGTTTGGGGTTCTGAACTTTTGGAGTTTTCGGGTGGTGCTCTGCAATCGAGGATTTTTCATACCTCACGGGACCAAAGCAGCGCTGATGATAGGCACCAGCAGTGTCGCAAGTTCTGGACAATGTCGGAGGTATGTTGACGACTTTCGTTGGTTTTCGTGCATTTTCGGGACGTTTCGGATGATTCTATGGGGTTGGGGTGGGGACGGGGAGAGTGAGGGGAGACTGACTTTGGCTCTAACGGAGACAACTCCCAGAGCACTGGCAATCACAGCGTTTCGCCGCTTTAGGCAACATACATCACAAGGATGTTTGACGTTTCGGCAACAAGATGCACTGTCACAAGCTTTCATGCCTTGTGCGAGCATGCCCGAAACACTGGTATCTTATTGCGCAACATATCGACATAGGGCGCAAGTTCATCGTGATGGCGATGATGATGGCGATGATGCTGCAGCTGATGATGTTGGTGTTGACCTTTTCAAGCATGATAACAGCTAGCATGTTGTAATGCTGCAGCAGGGGCACGGCCCTTCGGGATGCCACGTCCATTGATCGTCGGGACATGAAGAAGCCCGCTGCAGCGCGGCCGGCAGCCGCTGCGAAGACAGGGGCCAAGAGGAAAGATACTAAAACGAAGCCAGACGATGGCCTGCTCAAGGATGTCAGCACCGCAGAGTCCTCGCTGAAGATGGTTCACGGGGTGACGTTCTCCATTGCCCTGCGGCTCAATACCACGGCCTGAGCGACGATGAGAAGAAGACCGATGACAGAACAACAACACACTTTCGTCTCGAAATCGCCTGAAAATCGAGGTTTCGTAGCCCCTTTATGTATGGAAAGTCGCACGGCGCTTGATGCGCCACAACGTTATGGGAGCCCTTATAGAAGCACCTTTCTGGAAGTTCCGCTTCAGCAGCCCTTAAAGGAACCCAATTTTAGTACCCTTAGAGTGCCTTTGAAGGAGCCCTACTTTGGAACGTATACCCTGCAACCCCCTTGAAGCGGACCCTAAACCCTAGACCCCCTTGAAAAGGATCCTATTATACAACCATTAGCTACCCTAAACCCTAAACCCTAGCTCAACCCCAAACACTAAACCCATGTTGTACCCTTAAAGGAACCCCAAAAGATCCCTTAAAGGACCCCCGTAAACGGAGCCTCAACCCACGGCAGGCGATGCCGTCACGGAGGCTGGGGCCGCGTCCATGGCTTCGATGGCCCAGCTCCCAGAAGCCTTGAACAGTTTAGGGTTTTTAGGGATGTAGGCTTTAGGGCTTGAGGGTTGTAGGGTTTATGTTTTCAGGGTTTAGGGAGTGAGGGTTCAGGGTTTCAGGGATTAGGGGTTTTATCATGCTTCTAGACAAGTTTTTGTTTTTTGTTCTTGAAAGGGTTCGGCTTTGAAGTTCAGGAGGTGGAGGGGTCTCGCATGATGGGTGCAATAACGGGTCCCAATAGTTGGACATAGTATCCCTCCATGCACGTAGTCCCTGATAGCCGTAGAACATAATTATCAAGGCCCTATACTGCAAAATAGAACCCCAAAGAATGGTACTTTAAAAGAATCAAACGGACAGAGCTCCCCCGAACGGGATCTGTCTCGTACCATCGTATATGTATGTCCGTATGCATGTATGTAGGTATGTATAGGCTTTGGGTTTAGGGCTTGGAGCGTGAAGCTTGAAAGTGACATGCTTTCTCCTATCCTCGAAGTAGTGTGTAGATCAGTCTGAGCTTGAACTTCGGAAGCTGCCCACATACGTGTCAGGAACGTCAGCACCACACGGCCACACATTCAGCCCTGAAGCAGAAGCCGCACGTTGAACTGTGAGGCTTAAGCAACCCGTCGTCGTAAGGCTTAAAGGGAACTCCAGAAAGTTGGAATATGGTTTCAGGGTAGGATATCTTATAGTTTACTATAAAGGGTTTAGGATAATCATATTCCAACTTTCTGGCTTCTACTTTAAGAGTTGAACTCTGACCTTTCAAAGCCTTGAGTCGGGCACAGCTCCTGACCTATGAGGTCAAGCAGATGAACGCCCCGCCTGCTGTCTTTGCCACGGGATGCACAATGAGTTGTTCTGCTGCGAATTACTGCTACTACTTGCTGCTACTACTGCTACTACTGCTACTATTACTACTACTACTACTACTACTACTACTACTACTACTACTACTACTACTACTACTACTACTACTACTACTACTACTACTACTACTACTACTACGACTACTACTACTACTACTACTACTACTACTACTACTACTACTACTACTACTACTACTACTACTACTACTACTACTACTACTACTACTCCTCGTGCCCTTGCTCCTGCCCTCCCACTACCCTCCCCCTGTCCCTTCCTCCACTGCCGCTGCCGCTGCCACGACGACGACTGGTACCAAAGGTACCACTGATACCACTGATACCACTGGTACCACCGCTACCGCCGCTACCACCACTACCACCGCTACCACTGCTACGGTTGCTACTACTGCTACTAGTGCTTCTGCTTCTACTCTACTATTCCTACTGCATGGCCCTGGGCTATAAGTGGCCTTGCGTTTCGGGTTCAAGCTGTCGGAGTTGTCAGCTCTTCAGGTATTTAGGGATGTTGCAGTACCGTGTACCCTGAACATGAACTTTAGAGCAACCTTATCGCACCCTTGTAGTTTGGAATGTCCAACCAATGCTGCCAGCTGGTGCCTTTGTGTTGGGGTTCGGAAAGACCCAGCAACCCCATAAGAACTAATTTAGGGGCCTTATGTTCAATGCTAGTTTGGGGCTTCCTTTCATGGACAGCTTTGCCCCCCCCCCCCCCCTATGCCCCCCCTCCCCCTGTCAACCCCCTAGGAAAGCTTTAGCAAGTACTTGCCAAGGTCTTGCCAAGGTTTGCGTCTCATTAGAGGGGTAGGGCCTCGACCTTGGTTTGCGTAACCTTCACAGAAGCCTGCCACGGCCCTGACGGGCCGCGGGAGGTTCCGACAGGGTCGCTGAGGCCTTGCTAGGGCCTTGCTAAGGCCTTGCTGAGGCTTTGCTGCGGCCTTGCATGCTGTTGGCTTGCCCGGGGCGGAGGGTCTGCTGAACAAGACTCGTAAGTGGGAAATGCTAAACCTCAACACGACTTGCTGAGGTGCCTGGCGGGGGAGGGGGGGCATAGGGGGGGAGGGAAACAAGCCCATGATCGTCGACAATTATAGTATAATGGTCCCCAAACCCTATTCTAATTATGACTAAGGCCCTTGTATTAGTTGCTTGTCGTTTCTGCGCAGACTTGCCCTGGCTGCCAGGCAAGCATGGAGGACGCTCTGGAGCGCCTTCATGCACACAGCTCCAAGATGCTGAAGGAGGCCTGTCCTAAACCTGCTCCAGGGACTTGCACTTGGGTTTGCAGCCCTCCTGAGTTGGTAAACAGTCCTCCTAACCCATTAGAATAGGGTTTGGGGGCCCATTATACTACAACCACAATGAGGGAGCCCCAAAATAGCATTGATATCATTAAAAAACCTACATTCAGACTTTTCAATCTAAGGCTCAAGACGCCCAAACTCTCCTCGAAGATGCAGCCCAAACCCCAAGCCTTGATGTGCTTCATCACTCGTCCGCCAAAGCCCAAATCCCCATGCGCTTTGGGCCCTACTTGGAGGTTCATGGGTAGTTATAGGTGGGGTTATAAGTCCCCTACTATGGGTTATAAAGTATAGTTACCCTATAACTGCCCAAGAACCTCCAAGTAAACCTCAGGCCCAAGGCCCAAGCCCTGAATCGCTCTCCTTGTTCTCTAAGCACAGAGCAAGCGGAATGCACCTTGATCAGAAATAGAGGGGTCGAATACTTAGTCAACTACACGTACATCAGAACCTTCTGATTTATATAAGTTATAGAACTACACTGTTCTAACATTGACATAACTAAAAAACACCCCTCAACAACTTCTGACAATAAACCCTAAACCCTACTCCGAACATGAAGCCAGGAGCTTGCAGCGGAGGAGTCCTCTTTCGAGCGGATGGCTGCGAGCTCCGCCTTGCACCTGGGGGGGGTTCGCTTAAGTACCCGTGTAGTACCTTTAAAGGAAGCCTATTATAGAGCCTAAACGCAAATTTTGCAATCGTACAGAACCCTGGTTTAGTTTAGGGACCCTAAACCCTACATCCTGCAAACTTCACTTTTTAGCGTTTAGAGCCTCAACCCCCAGCAAGCACGAGTTTCCCAGTTGTCAGGTCTTGTCGCCCAAGGCTGCCACGGCCGAAACGGTGCCTCGGAACAAGGGTTTAGGGTCTAGGGTTAACTTAGGGGTACTTAGAAATAGTTCTCTTTTTTGGTTATTACAATCCCTAAGAAACAGCCAAAAATATAATTTTTGCTAGAGTTCTAAGTTCAGTAAAGAATTTAGGGTTTGGGAATTTAGGGTTTGGGATCTTCTCTAGAGGAATCCTTGAGTCTTCACGTACGTCGCAATGCCAGGCTTCCATCGCTTCCAAAGCCGCCGAAGCGCTCGGGGTCCAAGAATGTCTGTTCAGGGGGATCCTCAGAAGGTTTTAGGCTTTTGAGGTTCCTTTAAGGGTTACTGTGTGGGTTACTGCGAAGGTTATTCTGAGGGTTTCAGGGTAAAGATGTGGGGCTGAGGGTTCAGCTTGTTGGGTTTACTACCGGTTAGGATTTAGCGGGAAGAAGGGTCCTATTCGGTCGGCGTCTATGTGCGATCAGTGCGATCTGAGTCTGAAGCTGCCAGAATTTTGAATGTTAGTATATGGGGCCTTGACAAATCCTTGGTTTATTCCTTCGGGCTCCTGAAAAAAGAATGCTGTAGCATACCACAAACTCTATTCTGATTACTAAGGCCCCTATAGTAACTACTTGGTGGATGCCCAAAGCCCAGGCAGGTCCGAGCGATTTTGCAGGCGGTCGTCGTTGCCGCTAGTGTCGCTGTTTTTGCGGAGGTCGACCGTGAGGGTATATTAGTATAGTAAATCATCATAAGGAGCCCTGAACAATCATACGGCTAGTGATTTCGACCTTGATTCTGTTAGGCGTGTAGTGTAGTGAGAAGTCCACGGTGGACTATAGTTTCTATATAGACGTCGCTTCTGGTTTACACACAGCCCTTGATCATCTTAACTACCTGCAGTTATCCTAGTCCTATATATACGCTAAACTGTAAGCCCAAAAGTGTGGCCCTATAGAGGAAACCGCCCAGGCAGATGCTCAAGAGCCTCAAGCACCTGGACGGTGACCGCCGGCATGCCTCCCTATCAGTATGTGTGTATATACATATATATATATATATATATACATATGTACATACACACATACGCATACACATGCACACTCATTGTATATGTGACAAAACATATGTCACATATGTACATGTATATATATATATACACATATTTATTTATAGAGTTATCATCTATCATCCCTGAAGCCCAGACCCCAGGCATCAAAGGCTACTCTAGGGGCTTTTACAATGAGAACAGGGCTTTTAATCTCGAGTTATGTCAGAGTATATTCACAAGAGGGCTGGAAGGCGGTACCATCTAACTGCCACCCTAAAACCCTAAACCCCTAAATCTTAAACCCCTAAACCTTAAACCCCTAAACACCTAAACCCTCAGCAAGCTTGTTCCGAAGCCTCCTTGAGCCCGCACATCCTGAGTCCTAAACAGCCTGCAGCCTAAGCTGGGCCTCAGGGATGATATACAAAATTTACACACACACACACATATATATATATATATATATGTAGATATGTGACATATCTCCCCTGAGGCTGCCAGTCACAGTTTATCGAAGCTCTTGCACCCAAAGCATGTTAGCAAGCAAGGTGCGAGCCAGTACTCCCAAAGCAGTCTGCCGACAGACCCCACGCTACTCTGTACAACCCTAAATCACAACAGCAGACTTGTAGACCGACTCGTGAACGGAACCCTAAACCCGCCCTAAAACACATGCCGGCCCTAGCAAGCCTTACTCTGAGGGTCAAGAGTGTTGTATGGTTCAGGACCCAGTTAAGACGAGGTGTATATAACGGGAGGGGTTTCGGAAAATACGGATTCTTAGGATAAACCCTAAATGGGATCCTAACACACCCCGTGCATAGCAACATTAACAGAGCTTTATCTGCGGAAACCATACAAATCTCCAGAGAATCAGTGTCAGACACCTCTGTAGAATCAAGAACAACCTTATGAAGCAGTATAAGAAGGCCTGTGAACCCTGTTGTAAAATCCAAAAAAACCCCTACAACATCTTGTGAAGCCCAGCCTTATGGTATCCCTTCAGGGTAGCCGTCGAGGCCTGCAGCAGGCCTATACCTGTTAAGCACTACAGAAGCCATAAACCGTAAACCGCTATGGAACCCTTTAAACCCTAAGTTCCAAACGCTTAAAGCCTTAAGCCCTAAACTCCCTAAACCTTGCAAACCGTCATAGAAACCTTTCCGGATCATCTCGGGCTCGAAACAGCTGCTGCCAGCGGCCACCGCTTTAAGCCGTGAGCCTGGCCTGGCTTATGTGGCTTCGCAAACGCCTACTTTTGGTTCCTTTAGGGCTTCGGACTTAGGGGTTTTGTAAAGCTTTTTGAAGGGTTTCTGTAGAAGTTCGTCTTGTTGCTATCAGCAAGTATTGGGGTGGTCGTCATGTGAGGCACAAAGGGTTCTCAGGGCTGCAGTTGTGTCGTCTGGTTTTTTGATAAGGGCATTTATCAAGTTGCAGGCTTCCCTAAAATGGCGTTACCTTCTGCAGCAGACACCAGATCAGGGATCCGTTCATTTCCGGTCTGTACTTCGTTGTCCTAAATCCATGTCAGATCTCCTCCCTAAACCCTAAACCCGAAGGAAGGGTCATCCCTCTGTGAAGCTTGACGTATTCAGCAACCCAAAAACCTCTAGAGTTTGGGATTTCGGGTTCCGTGTTCAGATCCCGGGCTCTACACCCGAGGCCCGCAAGCTTTGCGAATGAACCCTAAACCCGTAAACCCTAAGCCCCTGCTCCCCTAAATCCTAAACCCTGGACCCTAAATCCCTAAACACCTAAAGCCCTAAACCCCAAACCCCCAAACCCCCAAACCCTATAGTACCCTTAGAGTAACCCCTTCTAGATCCCTAAAAAAGGAGCCCTAATACCCTTATAGTACCATTTGTAGATCCCTTAAAGGAGCCCTAATACCCTTATAGTACCCCTTGTAGATCCCTTAAAGGAGCCCTTATCATAACCCCTATAATAACCCTTATAGATCAGATCCTTAACCCTTATGGTAACCCCTTATGGATCCCTAAACCCTTATAAAACCCTGTTCCTGATCCCTTAAAGTAACCCTTATTATTAGCTTTATAGATCTCAAACCCTTACCCTTATGGTAACCCCTTATAGATCTCTCAAAAAGGAGCCTAAAGCCAACAGCCTCAACACCATGGCAAGGCTCGTGACTCAGAGCTACAGTTTTGGCAGGAAGCTCAGATTCTCAGAGCTGCCTGGGTAGTAGGGAGAACCTCTAAGGCTCCTCTAGGAGCTCCTTTAAGGGTTCCTTAGGGTTCCTTTAAAGGAACCCATAGGGGTTCCTGTGAGGGTTCCTTTACAGGAACCCTTAGCGGTTCCTCTGAGGGTTCCTTTAAAGGAACCCTTTAAGGGTTCCGTTAAAGGAACCCATAAGGGTTGCGTTAAGGGTTCCTTGAAAGGAACCCCTTGAGGGTTCTTTTGAGGGCTCCTTTAAAGGAGCCCATAAGGGTTCCTTTAGGGGTTCCGTGGTTAAATGAACCCAATAGGGTTCCTTTAAAGGAGCTTCCTGTGTATTGGGGAGACCCCTTTAGAGGTGACTTTTTAACCCTATTCCTAACTCTGAGATCGTCATTAGTCTTCTGAGCAAAAGTTTTGAGGTTTTTGTTGTAATGAACCGTCCGAAAATCATTGGGATTCGTAGTTTTATCATGTCTGAGGGTGTAGAGGTTTAGTAGGAGTTTGCTGTTACAAGGCTTGCTGCAAGGTTGGTGGTTCCTAGTGTTTAGGGCCTAGGGTGGAAGGCTTCGGAGGTTCGGGGTGTAGGGTTTAAGGGTCAAGAGGCCCCGAAGGAGTTTCCGAAACTTAGGGGTACCTCATTTTGGGGTCCTTACAATAAGGATCCTGCTATTGAGGGTACTACATGAGGGCTCCCTATCTAAGCCCAAACCTTTTGCCCGAGCCCTAAGCCCTAGACTGTATTCAGTTTCGAGATAGCCGAGGACAGACGGTTCGACAAATCTCCATATCGTTCCCGTGATGCCTGCATGTCCACTGCAGATGATAAGCGACCCCAATATACACCCTAAATGGTAGCATCCTCCAGCAGGGGGTCCCATTTAACAAACCTACGTCCCAAGCCCTCACCGTCAAAGCCGTCAGCCTCAAAACCCAAAAACTTAGAGGGTTTAGGGATTAGGGTTCAGGAATTAGGGTTTAGGGTTCAGGGATTGGGTCTTCGAGTTTAGAGGGTTTAGGGTTTAAAGGCCTGGTTCCAAGATCCGTCGACCGCAAGCTCGAGTTTTCCTGGAGTTTGGGCAGGTGTTCAGGAACCTCCTTCAAACTGCCATACTTCGGGGTTCAGGGTTTAGGCTTAGGGTGAAATTAGGGCTCCATAGTATGCCCTTGAACCCTAAACCCCTAAGCCCTAAACCCGAAACCCCTCAACCCTAAAGCCCTGGACCTTAAACCGTACGTTGCTGTCCAAGTTAAGTTGGGAGCTCTAGGGATGCATTTTACAGTCTGAACACTTAACCCCGTAAAACTCCATAAAACCAACACCCTTCTTTAACCCGGTACGTCTATACATATATACATATGTATGTGTGTGTATATATATATATGTATATATATATATATATATATATATGTTGCAAGTAAATTTGTGTGTATATATGTACACCCAGACGTATATGAATATGCATATGTACCTTAGCTAGGACCCAGAGTAGGCCCTTATTCCCTTTTTTAGGGGTTAAGGTTCCCCTATACCCCCCTTTAACCCAAAAAGGGCATCCTTTTTATTCCTAGGTTACTCTTAGCCCTAAACCCTAAACCCTAAACCCTAAACCCTAAACCTTAAACCCTAAACCCTAAACCTTAAACCCTAAACCCTAAACCCTAAACCCTCTTAGGTCTAGTTAGAGAAGACCTCAGGACCGAGAACCATGGGAATCCTCGAGGTCCTCGGGAGGGTATCTGTGGGCTTTTTGGGGTGCGTAGGGTGTTTTGGGGTTTCAGGTTTATAGTAAACTATAATAAGGGATCTATAATAAGGGATCTATAATAAGGGAACTATAATAAGGGATCTATAATAAGGGATCTATAATAAGGGATCTATAATAAGGGTTTCAGGTTAAAAGTAAACTATAATAAGGGATCTATAATAAGGGGTCTTATGGGGTTTCAGGTTTGGGGTTTGGGTTTTCAGCTGTAGGGCTTCCTGAGGCGTTGGGGCTTGGGCTGAAGGACTAGGCGTGTTTAGGGTTCGATTCCTTTAAAGGGTCTAGTAAGGGTTACTATAAGGGATCCATAAGGGTACTATAATATAGGGTTTAGGCTCCTGGTGCTCAAACGGTCGAATCAATGCTTGAACTTCCTCCCTACCCCACAATTCCGCTACTAGCAAATACTTCCAATTCTGTTTGGATTCCAGGCTCGCCCTTCAAACTTAAGGGACCAAACTAATTAGGGGGTGGCCAAGATATTCCCTCGGTTGTCACGTGCTCCAGTGACGCAGTCAAGCAGGCGAGTCATGTAAAAGTAAAAGCTACAGTATCAGGGGCCACCGAGACCCGAGAGCAGGAGGAAAACTACTAGGGGACGTAGACGCCAGGTTGAACGTTCTTGTCGGGGAGCTTTCAGATCGGCCGGTCAGCATTGCTAGTAGGCCTGCAGCGCCTTTTGTTCCCAAGGTTCCTAACTGGGTGGTTGTCAAAATTATGGTCCCTAATTGGTTACCCTAAATAATATAGGTGCATTACCATAGGGACCATATTTCTGACAACCACTCAACTGTGGTCCGTCGAAGTCTGGGTGTCGTTCGGTACAGCTTCTTTTGTACTCGAAAGTGCTCTTCTGCACATGTCTACTGGAGCCCCATGGTTCAGAGCACACGGGAGACTGCAATCCTTGTGATGTGCAGGACATCTCTGCCAAGCTGGGCATCAAGGAGTTGCGCCCAAAGCTGCTTCTGCGTACTCTTACTGTTAAAGCTGACACCATGGAACCATGAACCTTGTATACGTCACAACTCACACAGTTTGACAGTTAAGACCGCAGCGTGTTTCATAAGCCCTAGATCATCATGAACCATACAAGTCCCCCTAAACCTCCATAATCTTCGAGTCCCAAGCCTAAGGCCTAGTCATAGCTGTAGTAGCAGGGCAGGAACCGAAGCAGGAGCAGGAGCAGCAACAACAGCAGCAATCAGAGCGGAAAGAAGGAAGGGATGCTTCTGTAAGTGCCACGTTCTTCCCCCACGTTGCGGTCGTCGTTTCGCAGCCGCATCGGCTTCAGATCTCGAGCACAGAGCCTCATGCAGCTGACTTTAAGCTCAGGCATGCTACACACAGCGGCGGATTCGAAACGGTAGTGGCAGGGATCGTCAGAGTTACACCAGCCGTAGCATACAGTACGCTGCAAAACGGACGCCATGCCCGAGGAGGGCGAGGAGCCCAGCGAGGGCACCGCGCGCTTGATCGTAGCTTCGTTGCGAAGGTCTTTTCTTTTCCTCATCGGGTTTACAATTAGGGTTTAGGGGTTAAGGGTTGATGGTTTACAAATGAAAAGTTGATGTGGGTGCATCGTTCGGGGCCTGAGCCCTAAAGTCTTTAATCCTGCAATGGTAAGAGCTTAGCGTTCATGAGCTGAAGGGTCCAGCGCTTCGGGTGTCATGGACGGAGTTTAGTTGTGTCGAGCGATTTTTTGGGGTTTTACAGCCACGGCATGACAGTCTCTACAGACTTGTCACGCTGCAGCCAGTAATTTCTTATGACTTTTTGTTCTTCTTGCTACCAGTCTTTCCCAGCATTCTGCCGTCTAATTCACGCCTGGCGTGGCTCCGATCGGATCTGACACATAGGCGTGTCCAAACGTTGCGCTTGGCAGCATGGTGCCTCTGTGTGTGTGTGTACTTAGGAGAGGTCGCTACAACGGTTTCGCAGCTGCTGTCGGTCGAAAGATAATTCGGTGATCGTTTCTTTGTCTATACCTGCTCGTGTGCTGTTGTTTTTGAACCGTAAACCCCTACGTAGCTGCAAATCCTAAACCCTAAACTGGGAAGACGATGGAAGGCTGGCAAGTCGACCTGGTACTTGTATTTGGTGGTTCCTACTACTTCGATGTTAGCAGTGAATTCAGCGTTTCTTGTTAGCTCCAGGGTATTATGCTATCGAAGCGTTCTGACAAGTAGTGTTGCCGCTTCTCAGTCGGCGTGTTTCAGGCTGATCAACCTCTAGTACCACATGAACCTCTTATTGAGCCCAAAACCCTAAAGTCCTCAAGCCCAACTCCGCGAACACGGTGTTGCTTCTCTTGATTAATTTGGCTTAAGCCGGCGCAAAGCTGAACTTTGCACAGGACTTGAGGTGAGTTGGGATTGCAGCGCCAAGGGTTTCGACTGTAGGGCTCTGGCGCCTGGGTTTCGGTGTGTCGGCTCATATGCAATATGTACATTCAATACATCTATTTGCTGCTAACTTGGGCCGTGCTGGGCCCAAACCCTAAACCCTAAATCCCTAAACCCCAAACCCCTGAACCCTTAAACCCTAAACATCCCTAAACCCTAAGCGCTTAACCCTGGAACCCCTAAACCCTAAACCCTAAACCGTGGCTCTAATCCAAGGAGGTCGAGGTTTCCCTGATGAGCGGCGATACGCTCAAAGATTTGCTCCTTGGGCTTCCACTGGCTCTCCGAAAGCTTAAGCACAGGGGTTACTATGAGTGCATTATAAAGATACCATAAAGGTACTATACAGGTACTAGAAAGGTACTAGAAAGGTACGGTAAAGGCGCTATAGGGGAATTGCGGTTCAACACGTCCAGTGGCTAGTGTGAAGCTGATGCAAAGAGTTGAGACAGTAAGCTGCGCTGCCTAAGGCTTGCCCGCAGTGAAAGCCCGGAATTCAGAGTGCATCCAACCCATCAAAGGTCTTTCAGCCAGAGGTAACTATAATATAGGGATACCGTCGGAGGCTCAAGAAGTCAAAAACAGAGTCGTACTATTCCTGTCCACCCCTTCGGTTCTTTCGAAGCGTGAGGATCCTGGCATGGAGCTCATATATGAGTGGTTGTCAAAATTATGGTGCCTTTGTGGGTTCTTAATATAATACGGCACCTAATATTTAGGGTACCCCAAAAGGGACCCTAATTTTGATAACTGCCCATGTGTGTGTGATGAGGTCCGTGCCCGACACCTGTCTGATCAGCGACCTGGCCAGATGTTGCATGTAAAGCTCTGCTCTGTGGTGCAAGCAGTCGAGGTCAGTCGCTGCCCTACATTTTACAGTTTTGATTCCAGCCTCCAAAACCGTGAACTCCTAAGCTCGATGGATGGATGGATGGGAGAAGATCAGGGTGACCATGGATGCACAGAAAGGGCGGGGGTTCAGGGAAGTATCCAGCCCGCAATATCACAGAAACTATTGTTGATGATATAAATCCTGCATTACCGATAACAATAATCGGGAATATACCATAATTCCCATAGTCCAGGGTCATTAAGGTAACGCAGGATTTATCTCATCAACCGTAGGGAGGCAACCATGGGGTTCGAGCGGAGGGGGTGGATGGATGGACCCTGGATGGGGTGACAGCAGGGAGGTAGTGCTGAATTATGATAGTGGCTACCGAAGCATACGAACCTTCCCGATGAGAGAAGCAACAAGACATTTTGTGTATGTATGGGGCTGTTCTTAGAGCGTCGTGTTATGCCTTAGAGTCCAGATTGATTGAACTTATGTAGCCACTGCGGTGCACGCCCGGATCCCAAGCTCTCCAATGCCTACGCTTGTCCCAGAGAACCCCGGATCCCTGCAGTCTACACCCTCCACGCCAAACGTTCGAAGCGGATGTTGGTTCTGAGGTAGACCCTAAACCCTAAACCTTAAACCCTAGACTCCCCTTTTCTCCACCAAGGTGAGCTGAAGCTGCGGCTCGAGCAGCGTGAGGGCATCCCTCACCAGCAGCTCCAACTCTTGCTCCCAGGTGGTGGAGTTTAGGGTTTAGGGTTTAGGGTTGAGGGTTTCGGGTCGTAGCGATAGGGATATGAACAGGAGTAGGGCTTGGGGTTTCAAAGTCCAACACGTTAACGACAAATCGTGAGGCCGCCCCAAAAGGATACTTGTATGGGAGTTTCCGAAAATCAGGGGTACCTTATTTGGGCTCCTTATAATAAGGATCCTACTATTTGCGGTACTATATCAGGGTCCCCTGGTTTCGGACACTCCCTTATGTTGGCCGGCACCATGGGGCCTTGCGTCACCAGGAGGTAGTTCATGGCACGATCTGATGGCGACGGCTGTCAGGGCGATAGTTTGCTGTACTGCAAACCCTAAGCCTATGCCCTGTACCCGACATCGTGAAGTTCATTAAACGGATTTGGGGTTTAGGGTCCAGGGTTTAGAGATCAGAGTTTACGAGCTTGAGGATCTACGAGCTTGAGGATCTGTGTTCGAGATAACGGTTTGAAGGTGTAAAAATTCGGGTTTAGTAGGGTTTAGGAAGTATACCCAGCAGGTGTGTTTCAGAACCTCGAGGACCAGCAGACCGTGAAAGACTGCCTTTTGGCTAAGGGGATGCCCCCTGAGGTCTGAGGCTTGAGAATGGTTTGTAGTGTTTGAGGGTTTAGCGGTTCCTGAACCCTAAACCCTAAACCCTAAATGAATTAGGCTTTCAATGCTCTTGCATTGTTGTTTTCCGAGCTCGGGTTGGTACATTTTCTGGCAGCGAAAGCCATTCAGCTGTTGGCAGGCTGGGTCGAGACACTGCTCTTGTCGATGATGACTGAGGCGATGTCAGCGGCGGAAGGCTGCAACTGATCCTTGTCGCTGGGCCGCAGAGGAGCCACAAAACAAAGATGGCCCCTGCACTCCACCCTTATATAACTTTACAGTAGAAGCCCAAAGGTTGGAAACCCGATAGCCTCCATCCTTAAGAGTAATGTATAGGGAATCCCAGCACTATTTGGCCTTAATCCGGTTTCCAACTTTATGGAGTTTACTGTTTTCGTGGTAGCTCTGAACGGAATCCTTAAAGTAAGCTGTAAAGCCCCTGTATTGAGCAAGTGGCACCATGGAAACATTCGGCTTTGAGTGCGTCCTACAGCAAAAGTTGAGAGGCACGAAACTTGTAAAGCAAGGTTTTGTGTGTATATATATATATATATGTATAGATTTATATAGGTATATGTATATAGGTATATGTATGGTTATGTACTGATATGTATATATATATATATATATATATATATATATATACATAGCGCGTCGGTGCCGCCATCTTGCCTCAAACATGTGCGTAGTGTGAAACACCATGAGGTGCGGAATTCGAGCTTCTTTCCATCAAAGACCTTCACGGGCTCCAAGGCCTAATGGGCACTCCGACGAGACCAGGGTGTAAGCCCTTCAGGAAAATTCACTTGCAATACGTCACATTATAGACATACATGTATGTATCTGTGTATGTATGTGCATGTGTATATATATATATATATATATGTACGTATATGTGTATGTGTATGTGTATGAGTGTGTACGTGTACGTGTACGTGTACGTGTACGTGTACGTGTACGTGTATGTGTGTGTATATATATATATATTTATTCATTTATTTATTTAGTTGCATGTATGTATGTATATATGTATGTATGTATGTACGTATGTATGTATGTATGTATGTATATGAGACTACATCATGCATTGTTTCGTATCGTATTATGCATTGGGGCTTGGGATCGATGAGTCGAGGGAGAGTGCAGGCTTTAAGGGGACGGAAGAGGGTGCGGAGGGCTTTGAGTCATTGGCTCTGCTTACCTCCTATCTTTCGCGCCCGCTCGCTCTCGATCCCCTGAACTGCAGACTTCCTCAACCTTGGACCGCAAAGCGCAAGACGCAACCAGGAAGCACAATTGGATAGGAGACCCAGCGGAGGCTTCCGATCCTGCATAAACGTTTATAACATGCCTACATGCACGCATGAATGAAGCACATGCGAACGCAGTCACCGGAACACATGCACATAAGCTGCTTATGTGTCACCACACATACACGCATACGTATGTTGAGACACACACACACACACACGCAGACGCACGCAGAAGTAATTGACTCTATTTGCGTAAACAATGTGGGCGGACATTGGCACGAAGACATAGTTTACATACATACTTCAGTGTTCACAAGAATCACAAGAACAGCCGTGATGCACGTGTACCTAAAAAAGCCGTACGACGTGCAGTAACACACAGAGAGAGATGGAGAGAGAGAGAGAGAGAGAGAGAGAGAGAGAGAGAGAGAGAGAGAGAGAGAGAGAGAGAGAGAGAGAGAGAGAGAGAGAGAGAGAGAGAGAGAGAAGAGAGAGAGAGAGAGAGAGAGAGAGAGAGAGAAAGAGAGCGAGACGGGTGGCTGACTGATGTCAGGCCGACGCCAAGCAAACTAGGGGTTTGACCGACAGAACTTCACAATATTCGTGGATTTCTCAGAGTTCCCTATCATAAGCTTACTGTTTAATATGCCCCAAAACCCTGTTATTTCAGGCCCCGAAGACAGGAGTCCAAGGGAGTGCCGAATCTTACGGGAGGACCAGGATTTCAGAGTCGGGTCTACGGTTTAGGGTTCAGTTCAGTGATTAACTTGGGGTTTAGCTTTACACAAGAGTTCAGTTAAGGGTTTATGTTTAGGTTTCAGAGCTACTGGTTAAGGGTTTCAGCGCCGTTTAGGGTTTGCGGCTTGGTTCAGGGTTAAGTGTCTAGGTAAGTGTTATCTTATGGCTTATCCAGGGAAGCTAGGCCTAGGGTACTCAGCTCCTAGGTATCGGATCCAAGCTACAGAATTGGTCAAACCGTAAAGAAGGAACTTTTAAGTAGACCCTGAAGCCAGGAGGGCTACATCTTCACCAGCCGCGACCAGGGTGTGGGTTACTACATCGACTCGCAGCTTGCGGCATGTGGGCCCCAAGCCACAAGCTAAAAGCCACATGTAATGTAACCCCTATAGACCCTAAGCCCTGAACTCCAAGCCCTAGATTACCCCCAGGCCCTAACTAAACCCTACGCTTTAATTGAACCCTAAGCCCTGACAAGAGAAGTCTGCACTAAGCACATAGATCCCTGTAGACGAAAGCCCAAGTCGAACGTTGGGACTTGGAACTTAAGCTTACGCTCAGGGTGTGGGGTTTAGGGCCCTAAACCGTGCAACTGAAGTTGAAGTTGGAACCCCAGACCTAATCACTCGAAGAGCTCCGGCTGCTTGGAAGGAAGGACCCTGCAGATGGTTGAGATAGATCGTAGCACTTCCAGCAATGTTGATGGGAAGCTTAGAACAGCCTGTACGGTTCGTTCGGATTCGTTCGAGAGCTGCCTCCCCAAACACCTGAGGAATCATGTTGTAAACTGTATACCGGAATGCCCCGAAGCTCCGAACCCTGAAGCTTGAGTCTTAAAATCCAAACCTTGTAAGACCATTTCCTCAGGTACGAGGAGGGGATGGGCACAGCCCTTAGCGACAGACCTTAGAGCTCGAGAGCTTCCTTAGATATCATAGTATACTATAGTATACTATAGTATATTATAGTATATCATAGTATACTATAGTATACTCCTTGTTGCGGATGAGGATTTCGGACCTTCGATATACGGGACTTGAGCTCCTGCAGAAGCTACCTTTCGAGTTTTGGTGGCTTTTGGGTTTGGTCTTCGGGTGCCTGTTGTTTAAGGTCTAGGTGTCTTGGGCTTGAGAGTTGAGGTAGACAGCAGGTGCTTTCCATACCCTAAACCCCTAAACCCAAAACCCTAAACCCTAAACCCCCAGCCCTTGGTGTTTGGTTAGGATTTGTCTGCCATGACGTTCTAGGCTGTCAGGGGAAGCTGCGATCCCAATCCTCACGACCCCGGAAGCATTCGGGAGTTTCCGAAAATCGGGAACCCTAATGTAGCACCCTGAATAGTAGGATCCTTATTATAAGGACCCCAAGATGAGGGACCCCTAATTTTCGGCAACTCTGTAAACCCTTATAGTATCCTTAAAAGGAACCCTTATAGTACCCTTATAGTAGCCCTGTAAAGGAACCCCTAAAGGTATCCCCTAATTGTCGGAAAAACTCCCATTTCAATGTTGGTCGGCCCACAGTTCAACTCCAGCACCTGAAATGACGGCGCTAGGTCTTGAGACTAGCGGCGTGAAAGTCCACAAACTCACATGGGTGGTTGTCAAAAGTAGGGTCCCTGTTTGGGCACCCTAAATATTAGGTGCCACATTATATTAAGGACCCAAAAAGGACAACCACCTACAAAAAAGTGTTCATGTCCACCCTCAACCGTGAATCTTCCAAACGGGTCCGCGAAACAGAGCAGAGTAACCAAGCATCAGGGCGTGGCGCCAGCGACCCCTGGGATGGTCTCTGGGAAGACCCCCTTGATCGTGGCACCGGCACGACCACGACCATCATCATCGAGAGGCTCCAATGTTGAGAGAGAGGGTTTAGGGTTGAGGGCTGACTGAGGGTTTAGGGAGAGGGTGTTATAGTGTTCTTATAATAGGAAGTGTACAGGAGGGTGGTTGGGGTCTTAAACGTTCTTTAGTGATGATTTTTATTGAATGTAAGGGTTTGTATAAAGGTCTTGCAGGGTTTTGTAGTGTGGGCTTGGGGTCGAGGCGAGCGGTTAAGTCAGGTTCAGAGTGAGGGTTTTGAAATCTTGCTGGTTGCTCTTGCAACTTCCGCGAATGATCCTCAAAATTGTACATGTTTGAACATCGCTAAGAACGTATGTGGAACTCAGTTCTTCATGTTCAAAGCTTGAAGCCCCAAACGCTACGTCGCTGAATGCTCTTCAACGGATATGCAAGCCAGCCTGCTAAAGCGGAGCTGCTCAGCTGCAAGTTGCTCTATGATCGTAAGAAGTCACCAGGGTACATACTTTCTACGATTTTGGCCTCTGTACTCCGAACGAGCACCCAGTACGTCATCCTGCTGTGTGAATTGTCCTAACAACCGGGTCCGTCTGATGACTGAGAACCCCGGCACAATCCGCCTGCTTCCAGGTGCCAGTCGATGCCGGTTATTTGGGGAAACCGCATTGTCTGTATTGCATCTAGCCGTGCCAGCCAATGGGACAATGTGCATGACTTCTCTCATTGAGACCCTTTTCTCTTGCCACCGATGAGGAGCTATGCCTGAGGTTCATCGACAACTGATGCCAGCGAGCTACATATTACCAGTTACATTGTTTCATCGGGAATTGCAGTATGATTGTCGTGCAACCCAAGCTGATCAAGCTGAAATCCTAAACCCCTGAACCTAAACCCCCAGACCCTAAACCCTGAACGCCCAGAAACTTGGTATACGAAGGAAGCTAAACGGAAGCGGCCTAAACCAAGGGGCACGGTCTTCTGGGGCGCCATTGCCGACTCACGCGGCCTGCATCCCAGACCCGGTAGACCAAAACAATCCGTGGTCCACGGTTTGGAAGAGCTTAGAGTAATCTTGATAGCTTTTTTTTGTCAGGGCTCTCGTAGTATCTCTGACATCTTGTATTGTTGTCTCTCCTACTTTATGCCAGGGCTTAGGGTTTAGGGTTTGGGGTTGGTAAACAGAGTATTAATAGGTTTTTTTGTGGAGTTTACAGAGTCGAGGTGGACTCATAGCTTTTACAGGTTTGGGTGGAATAGAGGGTTTTGAGGTTGCGGGTTGAAGTGTTATGATATTGAAACTAGCGATTTGGTTGGAGGGCTTGTGATTCACCGGAGTCAGGCTCTTTGATGGTTTTGTGTTTTGCGTTCTTAAAACCTGAAGCCCTGAGGGTCGACAATGCGCGTTGTCCGTGGAAGGCTTGCAGGTTTGTTCGGCTCTGAAGGTGGTCAGAGTTATTCAGCGAAGCTGTGTCTCTCCACTAAACCCTAAAGCCCATAACATGCAGGGAGAGACGGAGACGGAGAGTCAAACAGTCGGGTCTGACACAGTGCATGCATGAGATGTGTATATACTTACAGACATGTGTATATGTACGTATGTATGCATGCATATGCACACAAACATCTAACATTGCACATATGCTTGTATATGCATACATGATGCAGTATTAGGTTTTATGCTATATGTGCATGTACACGTATAATGTGTACGTGCATGTACGCATGTATGTACGCATGTATGTATGTATGTATGTATATATGTATGTATGTATGTATGTATGTATGTATGTATACATATATATATATATATACACATGATATTCCACATAAATGTGTATATATATATATATATATATATATTGGTACATATATATATATATATATGCATAAATATGCATGCATACATATCATACACTGTATATCATATGACAACTTCATTCACTATATATTACATATTCTGCATTAAACACTGTTTTACATGAAGATTTGAAAAGCTCAGGCCTGTTACGATCAAAAGTACTGTCAAAGACCGCTATGCCAGTGTCCACCATCGTGGAGAAGTCAGAGAACCAGTTTACGGTGCAGGCGCCTTTTTCGAGGACTTTGCTGGTCCTTGTTCGGATTGCTGGAACGACATGGTCTTGAGTTTGGGAAGCAGGGGGTCGGAGTTCCTAACTACGGTTGTCCATTAATTTTGGTTGGTTTGTATATGATGTTTGTTGACCTGCCGCCTCGCATGCAGTGTGCGAGTACATGACAGTGTTTGCCCGCGTTTGCATACATACGCCCATATGCGGGCGGGTGGTTGTCAAAATTATGGTCCTTTTTTGGGTCCCGATTATAATACAGCACCTGTTATTAGGATACCCAACAAGGGGCCTTAATTTCGACAACTACCCAGGTAGACATACATGCATGCCATCATCCCAACTGGGCGCTTGCGAAGCGAAAGTCTTCCCAAAGTTTGTAAGCTGTGCCACAAATCCGCTGCCTCCTCATGACTTCAAGCCCAAACTCCAACCTTATAGGTACTTCAGGGCCAAAGTATATACTCTTCGGATGCCCGGACCCTAAACCCCCAAACCCGTGTGGCATCCTTGCTTTAAATTAGTATGCTTATGACCCATAATATAGAACCTCCATTATAGATATGATACGGTTGATGATAGAATTCCTGCATTATCCACAATAAGGAATATACCATAATTCTCATAGTTTAGGGTCCTTAAGGTAGTGCAGGGTTTATATCACCAACAGTAGAACCCTCATGCGACCCAAGCTGCCAGTCGAAATCGGTTCGGTTTCGTGCCACCCTCGCTGGCCCTGACGACCTGCGATTTGATGGGGAGGCAGGGTTCGGGGTTTAGGATGTCTACAGTTTGGGTTTAGGGTTTAGGAATTTAGGGTTTAGGAATTTAGGGTTTAGGGTTTAGGGTTTAGGAATTTAGGGTTTAGAAATTTAGGGTTTAGGGTTTAGGAATTTAGGGTTTGGGCTTCCGGGTTTATGATGAACATCGGTCTCTCCCTCGAGGCCCAATCACTTGTATCGTAGGTTACCGTCCCTGTGCAGCACAGACACACACAAATATTTGTGTGTATTTACATATATATATATATATTTATTTATTTATTTACATATGTGTATATATATGTCTATCTGTACATATTTGTATGTGCATATATATATAGAGTGTAATTAGTATGACACAGTACATAGGTAGTAGTTGCCCGCAAATCCTAGACCCCAACACTGAAGACCCGGTTTTTCGGGTTTGACGCTCCCGATGTTGGGATGAAATTTGCGGCGGGTTAGAGAGGTTTTTGTGGGTCTGTGTCGGGGTTTGTATGTGGGTTACTGTAGGGTTACTACACTGTTTGGTGTAGTGTGGTTCATACGGGTTACTGCAGGGCTTACTATAAAAAGTTTAACCTGCAGAGGTTTAGAAGGAACTGCAGGGCCACTGTAGGGCTTACTACAAGAGTTACTATCTGGTTTCTAGCAGGGTTGCTGTGCCGGTTCCCTTTCAGAGCTACTAGGAAGGGTTTGTGGCTAGCCTTCACGAGGGGCAGAACTCAGTTCGATGTCCTGATCAAACTGCAAACCCTTTTGAGTTTTGGCTAGGGTTTAGATGCGGTCCCACCCTGACGCCGACCCACAGGTGCGGCAACGGTGTCCTGAAGCTTGGCAAACCTGCAAAAGGAACGAATCCAAACTGAGCCAAACCCTTTCCCGACTACTTGTGTTCTAGTCCATACGTGCTCCGCCATCATCGACGGCGGACGGCTGCATCATACTTACGCCCTGAAGCCTGTAGCCTCACGCTGACAACCCTAAACCCAAAAAGTCGTAAATAAAACAAGGGAAAGTGAACAGTAACAGCATTTAAAACGAAATCGGAAAGGCCCGAAACCCAAGAAAACCCAAGCCTCAAGTATCGACCTGGGACCGAAAGCTTTGGGTGAAGGGCTTCTGGCCCTTGAAGCATGAGGTTCAGGGTTCAGAGCTTTTCTTGGGCTCCAAGTTTGCCTTCAAGGGTTTCCTCCTAAACCCTAAACCCTAAAACCCTAAACCCTAAACCCTAAACCCTAAACCCTAAACCCTAAACCCTAAACCCTAAACCCTAAACCCTAAACCCTAGAACCCTAAACCCTAAACCCTAAACCCTAAAACCCTAAAACCCTAAACCAGCTTTTTCAGGGATTTGAAAGGGTTAGGACCTCAGGGTTTCGGGTTTCTGCTCCCGGATGAGAGTCAGGTTCAGGGTCCGACGAGGTTTTATTCAAGGTGGTTGGTGCATTTGTGGGGTTGACGTAGGAGTTTCCGAAAACTAGGGGGTACCTTATCTTGGGGTCCTTAGAATAAGGATCCCATGTTTAGGGTACCATAGTAGGGTCCCCGATCTTCGGAAACCACCACACAGGAGCTTCAAGGTTTCACCAAAGTCCTCAACTCCAATGCTCCAAGCCAAGCCCCCTCGCCCACCCGCACACACTGTCCCTGGATCTCCGAAGCCCTAGGGCGCCCTACGCGCCAAAGTTCCAGGCAAACATTCTTCATGAAGCCCGAGAACACCTTGTGTCCCTACCAAGCACCGAAAGCCCAGCAGCCGTGTGGATTCGGCCCCGTAGGTGCGCGGTGTCGGAGGAAGCATCGTTGAGAGATATACTCGTGTACGTTGAGCATCTCCGAGCCCAAGGTGGAAAAAGTCTGGTGGCTGGTGTTTAGGGATGGAGGTTTAATAATTTAACATTTGGTCTGTCTGCCTGGGGTCCGGAGTGACCTAGCAAGCACAATAATCCTGTTTGGGAGTTTCTGAAAATTAGGGGTACCTCACTCTGGGGCCTTATAACAAGGATCCTACTATTCAGGGTACTAGATTAGGGTCCCCTAGGAAACTCCTATGTCGGCCTCATAAAAGAGATTACTGTTGTTCACACCAGTAAACCGAAACCTTTGGCCAGATTTCGGACTTCGGCCCTTGTGTTATATCCCTTACTTAAAGGATCATGGGACTTAATAACTAGGGTTATAATTAGGGTAACTATACTTATAACTACTTATAACCCCAATTAAGGCACTTATAAGCTTACTTACCAAGTCCCATGATCCTCCAAGTAAGCCTGTCACCCGTTTTGACTTCGGCCTTTGTGTCATCATCCGGGCTCTTGTGAAGGGGTGTGAGTTTCATTTAAGTTAATAAGGAAGCTCTATTATTTACAATATATCCCATTATGGTAGCATAAATTATGGTAGCATAAATTAAGGTTCCTTAACAAGAACCCAGTCGTCTCACCTCGTCAGGAGACGAAGTATCTCGTTCTCGCTGCGGGGGGCGCCGTTGCCCTGGCCGGCGTCATTGCCGGGACCTCACCTCGGCTTTGCAAAGCCCTATGGTGAACCCCATAAAGTTGGAAACCGGATTAAGGCCAAATAGTGCTGGATTCCCTATACAATGACTCTTAAGGATTGAGGTTCCAACTTTTTGGGCTTCTACTGTAAACCCCTTAACACCTACACCCCAAGAGCCCCAGAGCCGGAAGCCGTAAACCCCAAAGCTCGACCTCGTACAGCTATGGTTTAGGGTTTAGGGTATAGGGTTTAGGAGGAATCTAAACAGGCTCCAGCAAATCCTAGCCAAAAACGCCAAATCCCCCAGACCTGCGACCGGAAACACTGACCCAGATCTGGCTCCACACAGTCGTAAGGTTTTTGCAGTTGCGTCTTGTGATGAATATAGGGGACTCCATGAGTCGAATAGGCTGTTGGGGTACATTGTGCAACGGAGTAGTAACTAAGTGTGGAGACCCCCCAAAAATAATTTGCTGTTTGTCGGTGTAAAGGGAACTCCAGAAAGTTGGAATATGGATTAATGGTAGGATCCCCTATAATTTACCTTAAAGGGGTTACGATAATGATATTCCAACTTTCTGGCTTCTACTATAATGGCTCCGGCGTTTGCAGTCTGGGCTTGCAAGCTTAACGAAGGTTTTCATGCCCAGAAACTTCAGGTGTTTTGAAATTTGGGGCCTTGTAGGATATTGAATGGGCTGGGCATCTTTGTGGAGTTTGTACATGTGTTTAGCAGAGATTGGGTGCCAACGCCCCATCAAACCGCTATACAACCGTATACAAATACCCTAGAGACGTGGTTTTACGCGTATACAACTGTGGAAAGCCCTATCTCTAAACCTTACCTCAAGCCCGAGTAACCGACCTTTTTAGAGACTTATATACAGGTAGGTTTCTGAGAGTCCGGCAGACCCTAAACCCCTTGCCCTAGGCTTTCAGTTCATCTCAGCTGTTGAGGCCTTGACTTCGCAGGGTGCGCAGACAGCCAAGCCCAGCCCCAAGGCCAACGGCCAGGCCGGGGAAGCTGAGTTTAGAAGTTCGAGAAGTAATATAGGGTCCTCAATATTTAGAATAGGGTTTTGGGCCCCCCCCCCCAAAAAAAAAAGAAGAAACCGCCAGAATATTCTAGGTAATTTTTAAGGCCCCTGTAGTAAGTGTATGGATTTAGAGTCAGTTTTGAGGATGCCTTGGAGTTCACGGTTGCGGGTTTATTGTGCACATAGCGGGTGTGCTTCGTTCGGAGTGCAGGTGCAGCCACTTTTCCCGCGCTCACAGCATTATGTACCGGTGCCTCAACCACCCAAACTATTCTGAACTAAGGCTTGCACCCTAAGCCCTAAACTCGATGAAGCTCCGAGCCTATGCTCGGGGCTTGTGATGCCCGGAGCGGAGTGGGTCTCAGGATATTGGGTGGAGCTTTGGTGCTTGATCTGCCGCAGTGGACGCAGCAAGTCTTCTGTGTTGCCCCGTAGCTCACAAAAGCGCCAGTATTCAGCCCTGCTGTTAATTACAAGTAGCTCCTCATTGTCATGCGGACAAGATCCCAAACGTCTTGTAAGGAGCGCAAGGACACCACCAAAAGCCCGCCCCACACGCATCCCCCATGCCTGCGTCAGTGCCCCTGGTAAGATCTAAGCAGAACAGAGCTTCGACCCTACAGCCTACTCGCTCTCCCTCTTAACCGAACCTTCCGGAGCCCTCAGGAGCCGTCGACGCGAATACTAGGCGCCTTGTAATTCTGCAGTGCTAGGGTGTCCTGGCACAAAACTCCCCTTTGAACCCTCAATCTTTGCACACCCCAGACTGCCTACAATGCACCCAATGCACCCCTAAGGAGCACGCTATATTTTCAGCGCAGCAACTCGTATTGCCGACCGCAGACAGATTAAAGCCAAAACCCTGCATTTGGTTTCCGATAGCTTCTATACACTCTACATCTTGCAAATATCGTGCATGCAGTTCCAAGCACTGCTAGAAATTGCCACCCCGCGCTGAAAGCCTAGTGCAGCATAACCCGACCCTTGTGTTTTCTCCTTCGATCAGGCAGGCTCCCTGGATTCCAAGGACAGCGCGTGGACGTGTTGCCTTCGTACTGCTCGTACCAGAGCAGTGATGCTCAGTACGTCAACATGACGGTGCAGTTGACCGGTTGGACATCATCCTCGTCGTGGTAGACGTCCTATTGCCAGTCCTAGTCCTACTTCTACAGTCGCAGACGCCGTCGCAGCCGCCGTCGTTGTGTAGTAGGAGTCGCAGTAGCAGTAGCAGTAGCAGTAACTGTCAGTAACAGTAGCAGTAGCAGCAGCAGCAGCAGTACTGGAAGTCGTAGTAGCAGCTCGGATAGTAGCGGCAGCGAAGAGTCGGGTCGTAGTAGAAAAAGCAGAAGCAGCTTCTTCAGGCACACATTCAGATGATTCCTCTCCTTGCTCCCAACCGGGCCGTCCCAACGCCCCAAGAGAAGCCACCACCAAAAGCCCTCCACAGCCCTCCTCTGAACACAATAGACAACCTAAGCGCTATGAGGAGGAACCACTAGGCCCTACGCTAAATCCCTAATACCATGAAGACCCGTAAAAGCATCGTAAAAGCACTAAACCCTAAAACCCTAAACCATTAAACCCCCAAACCCCTGAAACCATTAAACCCTTGAACCCCTGAACCCTAAACCCTAAACCTATGACGATCTTGCCCTTGGCAATGAGGAGGGTGTGCTCCAGGCGCTGCAGGAGATGAAGAGCAAGCAGGCGAAGTGGCGGTTTTGCATAGGAGCAGGGATGTATAGCTTCTCAACAAATATGGTTTGTAGAGGATCTCTGAGGATCTCTTGCAAGTTTATAGGGCCCGATAAAGTCTGTGGGGCTTCACAAGCTTTGTTTTATGGTGATTTCCATGTTTTAATTGCTGTTTAATTTGCAGGTGGCCTTCAACAACTAGAAGTGGGACAAGGGTCATTTTACAGTGTGGGTGTCCACGGATTGTAAGTCAGTGAGGAGATGTTGTCACACCTGTATCTGGTCTACAAGCACTTACATTGACCGTCCGTGTGTGCATTTGTGCGAGTGAGTGTTTGTCTGTGCCTGCTTCGAAAGTAACTAGGACTTGAGTCTCGAAGAGGGAACGTCAACTGAACGAACATCGCGTGCCGTAGCAATGAAGCATAGGGACGATTGCAGCAAGCAGTTGAAAAGGATTGGCAGGACAGTAGCACAACATTCACCTTCACCAATGGCATTGAGATTGCACATCAAAGCAACAGCTGCGATCACCGCACCAGATTTGGAGGTGTAGGGTTTCGTATACGGGACCGAACATCGAACATGTGGCGGCCTGCTACCGTGGCCCTTCGCGCTCTGGCACGCCACGCGGCGCCACGCGCCGCGGGCCTACGGGGGAGCTCGGTGAGGCCCGCGCCAAAAACCCAGACGAAGCCCCAAAGCCTTAAAATCCCCTAGACCCTGAATCCCTAAAGCCCCAAATCGTGGCTGCACTTCGTTCAGTGTAGCAATTAGAAACAGTTTCCGTTCGCATTCCCTGTTACTATCCCGAAAACCTGTTCAAATTGCGCAAGTCCCCTTATTACGCTGTGTAAACGCCCATAAGACCGTCATTTCTCCTATGTCGAAACCCTGTTCGACTTGTTCAGGCACCTATACTACGTGCACCGAAAGAAATCTTGCAAAGAAGCCTGCGATCAGTCATGGCTCTGATGCAGCGACAGACTGGAAGCTTTTTCAGCTCGAGCTTTGAGTTTAGGGCTGCAGGGTCTAGTTGTTGGGATGGTCTAAGCTAATTCCAAGTGCTGGTGGCTCCGGTATGATTGGTCTTGTGATGGCGATTGCCTGTGGCGGTGAGTTCGACGGTGCTAGTGTGCATCTTTGCATCTCAGGTGTTTTTGTTACAAGGATTCTTGCGATGACTCTTCAGCTGAGGACGATGTGGACCGTCACAAAGATGATGTTGGTGGTGACGGTAACACGGTAGCTTGTATGCGGCTTTGATGGTGACGAAGATGAGAATCACCACCATGGTTCATGATGAAGACGGTGCTGGCGCTGGTGGTCCCGTTGGTCATGCTGCTGCTGCCTCTTCGTCTGCCGCATGTTGTTCTTCCTACGTTCTTTGTCTTCCAATGCTAAATCAACACTCGACTCTGAACCCTCAACCTGCTATTCTCGGAGATGTGTCTGTGCAGTTCGCAGCTCACCGGCACGGGCTTCGTGAAGAGTCCCGAGAAGGTTGCAGAGTTGCTGCTCGGCAGGTCTTCCAGCGGTTTTTGGGATAAGAGCTTGATGTTCTTGTTTACACAAACTGGGTCAGAACTTGCAGGGCTTGACTGGCTTTTCCCTGCGGGCCCATTCCACCCGATCCGATTTGGGACTTCATCTGCCCAATCCCTAACGCAAGGCACATCCATACACATGACTTACAGATAAGGTTCTTGGGAAGGAGCAGCATTCGGTGCGGATGGCTCAGATTAGAATGGGACTGCCTTTCATTCACAGCCAGACTGAACAAATCTCTCTAAGCATGTATCTCAGTGCACAGGTATGGCTCCTGGGGCAGCGAAAATTACGACGCAGATGTGCCGGGGCTCGTTTCAAATCTCCTTGTCATGTGCCTTATATTTTGTCTGTGATGGTCATTGTCAATTCTGGGGTCGCTCTTGTTTCAAGATGCTTCAGAGTTGCGTTTGCCTCAGTGTCGGTTCTTGATGAGTTGGTTGGTGTATTTACTGATTATTATTCTTACTATTATCATTATCAATAAATACTATTAGTATTATTATTACAGCATCATACATCCCTACATGGCACTAACAGTTACGGTCTTGAGGCTGCATGTGCTCAACAGTTCGTCGTAAAGCTACTAAAGCGGCCTTATTAATGATTACCTACAGTATTTTGGGGTTGTTTATTAATGGACCCCAAAAAACCCTATTCTGATTATTCAGGCCCCTATATTACCCTTAGTTGAGCTAGCCGTAAGTCTGCTAGCAATACGAACATTCAGGCTCGCAGTATCGCAATTCACGCATGGCTAACATTATGAACGCGAGGATCGGTCACGCGATGAACATCTTTGCTCTGAGGGTCATGTAGTAAATGGGAGTTAGTAAGTTGGAAAGGTCTTGTGCTGCGCGCTATCAGGCCAAAGGCTACGTGAAGGTATGCAACAGCGGCTTGCCCGGCATAATTCAGGGTTTAACGCTTCCAGCCCTAGAATCCTAAGCTGGTCAGATAAGAGGGGCTTCAGCTTCTGTAGAGCTGGATTCGAGAAATTCCGTCGGGAACTTCTGCTTCTGCCCACGCGCATTCTCGGATTGAACATTCGTTTCATAGAAACACTGGGAGCAATATCCGAAGTGTTCTCGATGAACTGCCGACCTCAGAACGCACAACCCTTTCGCCGTGTGACGTGAGAAGTGTCATGATTGGGCGAAGGTGACGAAGTGGGGCTACAAATTGCCGCAGCTCGCCGCGGAGTACACGCGGTCGGTGACTTCACCCGGAGTTTTCGAGGCCGATCGGGAATCCTGCGTTGCTGGGCAAAACGCAACTGCGTAGGCTTCGTACCAAGCGGAGATGACAAGATGCAGACCGGCCACCGAAAATAGTATAGGATTAAGGCACCTTATACTATAGATCCCTATTATACATCCGTCATATACCCCTTCAAGGAATTCTTTAAAGGAGCCCCCAAGTACGACAGCAGGCCCTGGACCCGAAACCTCATCTGACAAGTATGCTCTCTGGCGTGGTGGCTTGCCGAACCTGCTATGCAATCCATGCGACGGTTTGTCGCAGACACTTACCTACATGGGCATGTACAAAAACTGTACTACGTGTGATGGACGGGTAGAAAGGGGGAGACACATTGCTACTGGTTGGCTTAATTACAGATTTACACTGGTATTAGTATGTACATCTGCTGGTAGAGCACAGAATGAAATGCATGAAACGACAAGACTTTCATACATGCCATTGTTCGTGGTGAATAGAAGTGTAGATGTATACATATATACATATACATATGTAGAGAGGGCGAGAGAGGGACAGAGTGCGTCGGAATGCAGGCCCGTGTTTTCCGAGTAAAACAAGCGATGTTTACATAGATTTGTGCTTGTTATTATGGAACAGCGTCGTACCTCCAGCTATAAATCTCAACGATGATGACATGATCCTCCATAAGTTTATCTAAACTAGTATACGGAATGGTGATTGATAGTATATTTATGCAATATAGATTTCGGTTTCTGCTATCAAATCACCTGCAAAGAATGTTCGGTTTTCTATCCGTTATGTCTCCTTAAAGCCTGGGCATATAAGTCGTCAAGATTTTCCTTTTTTTACAACCTCTTCTTGAAGCTTGACATCCATTAGGTTTTTCCATGGTCTTAAATATGCCATGGGCCTGCAGTGCCACGCTTTCTGTACATATACATATATGTATATGTTTAGGGTTTTGTCTGTGTCCACATGTATATACGTGATATGGGTGCGCATGTATGTATGTCTGTAGCTGGGCGGCAGTGTTGCTGCTCATGAAATAAAGCTTTGAGACTTTGTCAGGGGGCGAAAATCCTCGACGCCGGCGCCGGCACTGGTCTCCTGGCACACAGCCTCAAGGACGGACTCACTAGTATTTGCACCCCCCCCCCCCCCCCCCCCCCCCCCCCCCCCCCCCCCACCACTCAGTCTTTACATACTTATAACGTAGTGTATCATAAACAACATCCTAAACCAGGTCATAAATCAGTTGATGGCTTAAGTCTTGAGCCAGGCTCTCCCGTGAAGTCCTCGGAAGCCGCAGCCCCTAGACCTGTTCAAGGCCTCGGCCAAACCTGGGTACTAACACCCTAACCCGACATTCGACTGGAGCCTGTAGCTTATTTTGGTGAATTGAAGCGGTCCTGCTCGTTGGCATTTCGCCAGAGTCATGTTCGACTGCGCTCCAGGTGCCGTTCATGCTGTTTTTCGAGGATTTGCACAGGTAGGTAATGTAGGTTGTATGTGCACGAGTTTAAAATGCGGAGTGATGTGCGAAACCAGGTCGCCTAAACCACGTTCTAAGATTCTCCATATAGGTACCATGGGCCCAAAGTGTATACTAGTTGGGTACATGGACCCTTAGGGTAACCTATCCCTCAACCATACATATATACATATATATATATATATATATATATATATATATCCCCAAGAGCCATCGTCACCCTGAGCTCGAAAGCCTAAATCCTAGGCCCGTAGCTCGAACCCCCAAACCCAAAGCCCTATTGCACTTCACTGCTGCCCTCCAAATGATCCTTGGGGCTCAATGTTTCAGGTTCTCATGCTACAGATACTCCATAAATAAGCAAGATACATCTATATATATATATATATATATATATATATGGACACAAATGCCGGCACACACTGAGCCCAAATAAGATTTCTGGCTTAAGTTTTGATAGGTTGGAGCTACGTGGGGTTCCATAGGGTCCGAGTCCAGGCAGAGCCCTAAAGCCTAACCTATGTCTCCTGTCAGATCGGAACACCATGGAAGCAAAACAGGGTGGCCCTGCTGGCATTTCTTGACCATTGTGGACGCTGAGTAGTCTTAGTACCGTTTAGGACAAGGGTGCTCATGATCCTGCCGACAAGGGTGTCGATGATGCTGCCCTGGACGCTACGTAAACTCACCTGAAGCTGTGAGCTGTGAGGAGGCTGGCGTGAAGGATGCGACGGCCATTGACATCTGCACGGAGTGCCTCTGCGGCAAGACATGGAAGCTTCTGTCAAGCAAATTCCCGAGCCCTACCTCCTCCACACGGCTTAGATCTGAAGTATCTGTCGGAAGTCCGGTCCGAACAGGCAGCTGCAAAGGAGCCGGGATTCAGCACAACCCCTCCTCCATATCTCCAACTCAAACCCTAAGTCCCAACTCCTAAACGTCCTTAACTCCAAGCCCAAAAGCTCCAAAGCCAAAAAGTCCCAAATTCATGCCGACGCGCCCGCTCCCGGACCAGGCTCCTGACTTGTGCCAGCCTATCAAGCTCATTTTCGACTGTTGCTACGATTCGAGTTAGCCGCTTTTACCTTCCAATCCGAAGCCTTTAACCCCGACAACATGCTTAGAGCCGTGTACAACCCTCATAGATATAGGTAGAACAATTTGATATGACCAGCCGGGTTTCTTCTATCGCTGCTTCTGTCAATTATCTCGTGGCCCGAATCCAGGAGCGGCTTGGGGTCTTAGGGTTTAGGGTTTCAGGGTTCAGAGTCATGGTATGGCGCCCTATCCCATAAGAAACCATTTGGGTCTAGAAGAGTGAGAACACGCTCCAGAAGGGCGAGGGGAGTAAACAACTGCATGTTCATGCAAAGATAGGAAGCACGATAGTAGAAACCGCGGCCGTCATCATCTTTACGCCATCCCCGTTTGTGTAGCAAGATGATTATTTCACACATATCGATTGCCGTTTTGCTCATTCAGTGTGATGCTCGTGTTGGAATGTCGAATAGCAGTTCGTTGCAGGCTCCGATTCCTCCAATTCCGCAGCACTGCAGCTCATCCCACGCCCTCTGAAGCCTTCCTCGTGAGTCTTTTCATCTACCCCAGAACCCCATTCTCAGTATTCAGGCCGCTGTGTCCCTAAACCCTAAACACCCCCCGCAAAGCCGCAAAACTCTACTCTAGATTCTAGATGGAACCCTCTGAGGCTGCTCTCGAAGGCCATGAGATCAGGCTTCTACTCTTGCTGCAAGGTGGGGCCTCAGTAGTAGCAGTCGTCGTCGTCGTATATAGTCATATAATAGAAGACGAAGTCGCCTTTTTGTTGTAGTAGCACCGGCAGCAGTAGTAATGGCCTCGCCTTGACAGGTGGTCGACCTGAAGGCCACCTTCGATTTCCCGGAAAGCTGCTTCGATGTTACACTCTGCCTGGGCACGCTCACCTACATGGACCCCGTGGCTCGGTTTCCAGGATTTATAGGGTTTTGGGGAATAGGGCCCCTTTAATAAAGAGATCCTTAAAGGGATCCATAAGGGATCTATAGTAGGGTTATATAACATAGGGGCCTTAATAATTAGAATTGGGTTTTGGGGCCCCATTATTATGCTATACTTGTAATAAGGAACCTCCCCCAAATTGTATTGGTAATTATTGTGGATTATCAGCTCGATGGTGGTGGTGCCCGCGAAGCAGACGACGACGATGGCTGTAGCAATGGTGAAGCTGATCCTGCCGAGGATGGTGCTGCTATACGCTGGTGGCGGGGGTAGCGATTGTGAAGCCGAAAACAGCGTGGGTGCTGATGATGATGATGATGGTGATGATGATGATGATGATGGTGATTTCGGTAGTGATGCTAGTTGCTGCTAGCACTGCTCGAACCTCCGTGATGCATTTGTTGATCATGCTGGTGATGATCGAAGATGCTGGGGAAACGGTTTCCATGCTGTTCATGATGATCGTGTGGTGGCGATGACAGTAACGATGAAGATCATGCTGGTGGCCGCGATGGTGATGATGGTGTCGCTTATGTCCATGTTGATTCAGTTGGTCATGGTACTGATGGCTGCCAATGTGGTGGAGGTCATGTCTGTGTTGACCAGTGGCATCTCTGCCATTTATTGGCAACGCTATTCTTCTCGCAAGCAATGCAGCAGTATGATATGTTCTATTCTTTGTCCAAGTTCCAGATTTGCTCGATTGTTTTGCTTTCATGACCAAAGTCACAGCCGAGGAGAATTCGACAATGTCGGAGCTCCTTCGTGTCACGAGATCTGGGGGCATCGTGGTCTTCAGCATGCGGCAACTCAGATGGAATCGAGGTGCATGAATCCCAACAACGCTTATCTTATCGAACGGCTTTGGATGAACATACGGGCTCCGTCGCGCTAAGATAGGATCCCTGATTCTTATTTTCATTATCACCTGAGCTATACTGACCTTGCGAGCCAATTAGTTCTGAATTTCCTGCGCTGGTAGTATGATATGTGCATTGACCATCTCATGGCCATGGTTATCTTTGTTTTCACCATTGTTACTATCAGCACCGTCACACATCCTGTCGTTGTTGTGCTTCTTTCTGCTTTGCTACTGCGGTGCATTTAAGCTGAGAAAAGCCCAGGACGGACCACATCAGCAAATGGGAGGGATTGCTGGAAAGCAGCTTGGCAGAGTTTGGGGTGCTGCGTTTAGAGCGCCGTGATGCTTGGGCCGTAGAACTTCTGGGATGAATTTGCAGTAGCTAGCCCTCATAGTAGAGCCCTTGAATGGGTAGTTGTCAAATCAATATTATGGTCCTTTTTGGGGTCCTTAATATAATACGGCACTTAATATTCAGGGTACCTAAAAAGTTAAAAAAGGGACCGTAATTTTGAGAACCACCCATAATCCATATGGTAGTCCCTACAGCAAGCCTTATCGTAAACCCTAAACCCGTTAGCTTTAAACCCCTAAAACCCTAAACCCTAAACCGTAACCCCCAAGCCCCAACCCTAAACCCCTAAAGCCCCAAACCCCTAAAACCCTTAAAGCCCTAAACCCCCTAAACCCCTAAAGCCCATAACCCCTAGCCCCTGAACCCCCAAAGCCCCCAAAGCCCACGAAGCCTCGGGCTTCAGGCATGCTTGCCAAGGGCAGCTGGGAGCACCTCGGCACCAGCGACGCCTTCGACTACCTACCCGCACCTGGGCATGTCTTGGGGCATATTATAGGGGCTTGATATGAGGGTTACTGTAAGGGTGACGATACGGGGTACTTCGAAGGTTACTATAGTAGGAGGGTTTTTACAGGAGGATTATTATGTGGGTTTAGGTTTTGTTTGTAGGTGCTCGACCATTCTGCTCGGGGTGCAGGCAGCGGGGAAGTCACTTGTAGACAACTGATTAAGTCAAGATATGGGTCTAAAGTTTAGGGTTTAGTCAGGGTTTGCTACAGTTGATTACGATAGGGGTTACTGTAGGCGTTACCTTTAGGGTTACTTCAACCGGATTTTTTAGGTGGCACTTGGACCATGGGCCCAGGATAGAGGGTTTGCGCGTTCTGAGACGGCGTTGTGTTCTTTGTCGTGGTCATGCGCGGAAGGCGAATCCTGACTACGGCGACAACGTGCTGGTGAAGGTCTTTGTGTACAAGAAGAAGTGACCAGCATCATTGCAATATGCTCTGTACAGACTCGATTTCACCCTTCGTGACAAGGGTCATGAAGCAAAGTGCGGTCGAAGCCTGAAAGCCTTCAAACGCTGCATGGCTTTCGTTACCTTAGGCTGTATTTACCAAAACCTCCTACGAACTTGCTTCGTTACGGGACTCATTATGCAGGACCGACATATGCGAGAAGACTTGGCGCCGTTCTCGATACATATAGATGTGAATAAATGTACATGTTGTGTCTGTGTGTGATTATACATGTATATATATATATATACACACACATCACACATATATTCACGACGAAATCAACAAATTCTTCAATAACATGAACACATAGTAGATAGATTCCGATCTATCTATCTATCTATCTATCTATCAATATAGAATATTTACACATATGTATAGAAGTATATGTATATATACACGTGTATTTATTTGTTTATGTATTTGCGTATCAACACGAGCGCAAGGTTTCCGGGATTTTCAGTCTGGTAAATCGCACTCTCAGGAGTTGAAGCTCACGCCTTCAAGCCCAGGTTCAGAGGTGGGGAATGAGGCCTTACGCAAAGCGTCCTAGGGGTATACTTCCCCAAGTCATAATAGTTATTCCTAGTAAAAAAATTCAGTTATATTCTACAAAACAGCTACATTGGATCTTTTGGGTTAATGCAGGTTTAAGGTTTCAACTTGGTTTATGTCTGGAGGCTTAGCCAAAACCATCATCTTCAGTTCTTACATGAGCGAAAAACACGCGCCGAGCTACAGCGGGAGCAGCGTCCCAAGGAGCATTTCGCGTTTTCCACCGGCGCTGCCCGAGCCATGCGCCTAGAGCAACCCGAACGTAAAAGCCTCATAGCGCGCACAACACCGTCTGCGGAATATATACGATTATGTATTATTCTATACTTACCATCATTTACTATCATATACTTATCATATATATATATACCACTATACACTATCATGTACTGTCATATACCATTACACTATCATGTACTATCATATGCCATTACACACTATCATATACTGTCATATAATCTACTCCCCAAGCCCGAGTCCCAGTTCTTAAGGCATCTACGTACACCCGCCATGCCAGGAGCAGATGCGTGAGCAGATGAAGCAGCTGGCGTCCGAGGTCATGGGAGCTTTTCTACTGTACCTCTCGTCTCCATTGTAGTTTTTTTTGTCGGAGGGGGTTTAACTAACCGTCATATCCGTCATGTTTAGCATCCATAAGGTAGCCCGAGAAAGAGTTACAATGGAGACTGTAGGTAAATGCCATGCATACCAGAGATCTATTTCCCACCCCCTAGATCCCAAAATTCCAACTGGCTCCATTCCCAAACCAAGCCTCATAAGGCTCAACAAAAACCCTTAAGTCCCGAAGCTCGAAATCAATCCCAAAAATCCTAAACCTTGACCGTTCCCAGCATCATCTAGAGCCCTTTGAATGCGCCCCGGAACCCGAAAGTCATCACTTTTATTGAATGCTTGAATAACAATTAACTGAAACGAGGCAAAGTATAGTTAAGACAGGGTCTTGGAGCCTACATTGATTCCCAGCAGAACCCGAAATCCCAGCCAGTGTTGGCAGGTGCAGAGCAAGTCGTTGAGCAGTCAGCTCAGTGCAGCCGCGGGGCGGTGGAACGGCAAAGTAGCGGCGTAGTGGGCAGAACTATCTCACGCAACACATGTTCCGACCGCTGTGTAGGCTGCAGGCAAGGCTTTCCGAGAGGTCATGGCCAACGAAGGCTTCACAACTCGAGCGGCTTCTCGAAAGGTCCGAGTTGAAGTATCTTCCAGTAGGAATGTCATGGTGCATCCCAATCCCAGCCCAGTATCCCAGATTATCAGTGCTAGTGAAAACAGAGTTAGTGACAGTGGCAGATTTGTCATTGTACAGCTGAGCAGTCAACCAATACATCATACACATAGGTATATACATAGGTGTACATATACATATACATACACTTCCAAGATGAGCAGAAGAAAAGGAGCAAGTATGTTTGTGATGTTTGTTCATGGCTAGGTATGGGTGCAGGTTGTTGAAAATAAATGAGACAGTTCCATGTGTGCAAAGGGTCTCCTAGGTACATCAACGGGAGTTCCAGACCGTAGCAAGCCTAGTTTCATTGCCAGCCACACATGCATGGACCCCAGCATGAGCTCGTGGCATGGCGTGCTATGGCCCGCGGATGGCATGTTCTGGCCCGCGGCGCGTCAAAGACAAGGCATGAACATGCGAATCTTGAGGACAGAATACTTGCTGATGATGCCCCTTCTAAGTATAGTCTAACATACTCCAAGGCCCATTCTACCTGTTAAGTCCGGTATGTCAAGCCTATGAAGACATACAGCCCGTGAAATCCCTAGAACACTTCCTGGAAATCCGATTCTCTCTGTCTTTCTTTCTTTCTTTCTTTCTTTCTTTCTTTCTCTCTCTCGCATACTGTATGTGTATAGCTATGTAAGTAAGTGTCTGTTTGTTTAGACATGTTTGTTCTTCGTTGTAGGCTTCACTGCTCAGAGTTGGCATTTGTTAAGGCCCAACTCGAAGAGGGTGGAGGGGGAACAGCAGTTTAGGGTGTAAGGTTGAAGGCGGGAGCATCAATTGACTCCAACACGCATAGCGACCATGGACCTCAATACCCGAGCTTTGAGCCGTCAACCCTACCCTCTGCACCTATGGCCACACGAACCCAACCCCAAACTCGAATCTCTCATGCCTGAAGCCAAACCTTTAGATCAAGGGCTCTAAACCTTAAAAGCAATGGATCTTTCAACGCCTTCTTCCTTAAAACCCTGAGTTTGGGTTTTTTATGCAAGCTCCAGGCGTCAACTTGAGGAGTGGAATTCCTAAGCTGACCAACTGCGCACCTGTAAATGCATGTCGGGACTTTAGAGAGTGAGACAGATGCGGCCATGTCCCCCTAAATTGCCCTGAATCCTATGCCCTAAACCGGAAATCTGAACTGGGCTCCCTTCTTTACTTCATCTGTCAGCACGTACATCCCTTATATATCCTAAAGACCTTGTAAAATCCCGAAATATACATCCCGCCCCCTCCCACCCCTCCCCCTCCTTCCGCCTCTTGAGCTCCAGGTGAAACGGCGGCCGTCCAGTTTCGACGCCGGCGAGTCGCCCCTGAGCTGCTTTCCATGGGTTTGTATGACTGTAAGAGTTACTGCAAGGGTTGCTACAAGGGGTACTGTAGGGGCTCTATGAGGGTTGCGGGTATGGGGTTTAGTTCTCAGGACTTCAGGTTAAGGGTTGGAAAGCCTTCTGCAACCCCTACCCTAAAAGCCGAGCCCTAAACCCTTAAACCCTAAACTCTAAACCCAAAACACAAAACCCTAAACCCTAAACCCTTAAACCCTCAACTCTAAACCTTAAACCCCTTGAGAAGCGATCCTGACCGCCTCACTGACAGCCCAGGCCTCTCAAGTTCGTTGCTTGCGGAGCTTGCTCGGTGTCACTGGAGGCCACGGGGTGAGGAACGTTTGGGGTTTAGGGTTTTGGGACTTCAGGGTTTAGAAGCTTTCGGGTTTAGGGCTTCAGGGGTTAAGGTGGTTAAGGTTTGGGGTTTAGGTTTTTGGGACTTCAGGGTTTAGAGGCTTTAGTGTTTAGGGCTTCAGGGGTTAAGGTTTGGGGTTTAGGGTTTTGGGACTTCAGGGTTTAGAGGCTTTAGTGTTTAGGGCTTCAGGGGTAAAGGTTTGGGGTTTAGGGTTTTGGGGCTTCAGGGTTTAGAGGCTTTAGTGTTTAGGGCTTCAGGGGTAAAGGTTTGGGGTTTAGGGTTTTGGGGCTTCAGGGTTTAGAGGCTTTAGTGTTTAGGGCTTCAGGGGTAAAGGTTTGGGGTTTAGGGTTTTGGGACTTCAGGGTTTAGAGGCTTTAGTGTTTAGGGCTTCAGGGGTAAAGGTTTGGGGTTTAGGGTTTGTTTAGGGCTTCAGGGGTAAAGGTTTGGGGTTCTTCAGGGTTTAGAGGCTTTAGTGTTTAGGGCTTCAGGGGTAAGGTTTGGGGTTTAGGTTTTTGGGACTTCAGGGTTTAGAGGCTTTAGTGTTTAGGGCTTCAGGGGTTAAGGTTTGGGGTTTAGGGTTTTGGGACTTCAGGGTTTAGAGGCTTTAGTGTTTAGGGCTTCAGGGGTAAAGGTTTGGGGTTTAGGGTTTTGGGGCTTCAGGGTTTAGAGGCTTTAGTGTTTAGGGCTTCAGGGGTAAAGGTTTGGGGTTTAGGGTTTTGGGGCTTCAGGGTTTAGAGGCTTTAGTGTTTAGGGCTTCAGGGGTAAAGGTTTGGGGTTTAGGGTTTTGGGGCTTCAGGGTTTAGAGGCTTTAGTGTTTAGGGCTTCAGGGGTAAAGGTTTGGGGTTTAGGGTTTTGGGGCTTCAGGGTTTAGAGGCTTTAGTGTTTAGGGCTTCAGGGGTAAAGGTTTGGGGTTTAGGGTTTTGGGGCTTCAGGGTTTAGAGGCTTTAGTGTTTAGGGCTTCAGGGGTAAAGGTTTGGGGTTTAGGGTTTTGGGGCTTCAGGGTTTAGAGGCTTGAGGGGTTTAGGGGTCAGGGACCTACATTCAGCCTGTCGGCAGGAGCCCTATGAATTCACCAACCCGAGCCCCGCAGCCCTTAGGCCGTAAAGCTGGACCCAACCCAAAACCGCGAAACTCCTCAGCCCGGAGCCCAAAACTCTTAAGCCCGAAAACCCTGAAGGCGAAGCCTTGAAACTGAGCCCTAAACCGTTTACCCACAACCCCAAAATTCCAAAATCTCAAATCCTTGAGACTTCAATCCCCACTCGAAAAGCCCCAAAGCCCTAGGCCCTAAAAGACCCAAAGCCTTAAGTGCCAAAACACCAAACCGCCAAAGCCCCTACACCCTTAAACCCTAAACCCTGAACCCGAAGCCCTTAACCTATAACCCTTACAGTAGCCCTTACAGTAACCATTAAAGGAACCCCAAACCCCTAACATCTTCTACAACCCAGGCCTCAATAATTACACAAACTATTTTGGTGGCTCCACATTAAATGAAAGTATAACCGGCCCCCAAACCTTTGTTCTAATATTTAAGGCACCTATACATACTAAACTTTAAAACCTTACACCCCCAAAACCCCTATTCTATTGATTACTTAGGGGTACTTAAAAATAATTTCAATTTTGGTTTTTATAATCCTCAAAACAGCTAAAATTTGGATTTTTGCTAACGTTCTAAGTTCAGTATAGATTAAGGCCCCTTCTGTAGATTGAAGGTTCCCTCAAACCGGCTGCCGGAGCCTTGGGCGCTGCAGATCTTCCGTCCAGGAGGCCTTGGAGTGGTTTAGGGCTCCTAGGGGGGTTTAGTGGCCTGTAAGGGGTCTATAAGGGATCTACAAGGGTTACTATAAGGGTACTAGGTTTAGGGGTTAGGGGAGTTTAGGGTTTTAGGGCTGAGGGCTGACGGGTTTCGGGGTTTGGGGTTTACGGGGCTTGGGTTTGGAGCTTAGGGGTTTAGGGTTTAGGGGGTTTTCGTCAAGGTGGACCCTGCAATAAGCTCCTATAGTACCCTTTGTGTGGGGGGGACCCTACCATACAACTTTACAGTATAACAATCCTATCGTACGCTTTAATGGGGGGACCATACTTTATAACCCTATAGTACCCTGACGGGTTCCGTGAGGGTTTAGTCTAGGGGCCTTGACGAGAAACCCGTTTCTTGAAGGGGTTGACTCAGTTTGAGTGCTTTTTTTGTGGGGAGCTGGGCCGGGGCGTATGGCGCGATTATATAGGGATTGTGGGGGGAATATGATGATGAGTTATTGAAAAATCCTAAGGTCGGACCCTGGGTTGCGGATGATCAGTGTTGCAATTCTCTTTTGATTACCTTGGGGCGCGAGGATAGCCATTTTTGTTCCAGCAGCGTCTATAACAGTAGCACAGAGACTGCATCACCTGTGACAGCTACATCAGCCGCAAGCAGGATGATGGTTTCAGACATGTTGAGAGCAATCATACTGATGGTGCAGAACACTGATCATCATTCTCGTTCATGAGAGCAAGAACAACAGGAAAGTCGTCAGCAAGCTTTGGACGTCCGCTCCTTGACAGACATCGCGGGGCTTTGGGTTAAGGCTAAGGATCGTTTCGTTTCAGTGTTGTGTTTCGGGGATTGAAGCGTTTCGGGCTCACCGGCTTTTGAATGCCAGGTTGGCTATACGCGGACAGCTGGCTAGATGTCGCAGACCTCGTCGTGAACTCGGCAGCACCGTGGCGTCGCAGACGGTTACATTTTTTCTTTTTCCGGTCGGTCTCTTCTGAACGGTCTTCAGTCTGTTGTTGCTCAAGTTTCGGAGAGTTCTTGGCTATGCACACATTGCAGGGCCCGGGCAGCGATAGGGCAGTGGGCACAAAGATAGACTCGATAACCCTAAACCATGTAACAAACCATGTAACCCAAAAGCCTAGGTTCTAAAACCCTAAACCCATCACCCTCCCCAAACTAGACCCTTGTACCTAAAACCCTACATCCTCACACCCTAAAGCGTCCAGCCGAATCGCTGAGCTCCAAATCCTAGAACCCCTGAGCCCTCAAGCCCTGAAGCCCTAAATCTTGGGCCTTGTCGCCCTCTTATAGAACAATTATTGGCCTTAAACTAAACTTTTCAACTTTTGGGGTTCTTATATACGGTAGTCGATATTGAAATTTTCAACTTTTGTTTCAACTTTTGCTTTTGCTCAGTGAGTATACAAGCCCCGAACCCTACCCTTACTATACAAGCCCAAAACTCCCAAAACCCTAAAAGAGAACCCAGCCAAGCCTGTAGCCTGTCGCCGGAAAGACCTACCTTTTTATGGTTCCTTATTATGGTTTCTATATTAGGTGCCGTATTATATCAGGGACCCCAAAAGGGACCCTAGTTTTGACAACCACCCATATATAGTTCCTTAAAACAGGTATAGGTCTTTTCGGCTACAGGTAGTTATAATAAGGAACCCTAACATTAATATTGGCAATTATTCAGGCCCCTTCTATACAGTTCCTTTACAAAAGGGTAGGTCTTTTTCGGCTACAGGAGGATGGCATGACGAGGGTGGAGGTCCTCAACCTCGATGCTGCAGCCTGGCTCGGCTTTAGGGGTTTCGGCTTTAGCGGTTTTGGCTTTAGGGTTTGGGGCTTTAGGGCTTGGGGCTTTAGAGTTTAGGGCTTTAGAGTTTGGGGGTTAGGCTTGAGTGGTTTTGAGTTACCATTTTTTGAGCCGATTAGGCTTTAGGCGTCAGGATTTGGGGTTTCAGGCTTAGATTGAGTTTAGGTGTTTACGGTTGCAATAATAATTTAAAAGTGTTCTCTTCTCATCAGGTTTCCTTTTTATAGAGATTGATCAGGTTTTTGGGTCGAGCACTGTTTAAGGCTAAAGGGGGTTTCGAGTATTTGGGGCAAGCAGTTTGTAGGTTTCTTGAATATCGCTGTGCATGCAGGTCCGGGTTTGCAAAGGCCAGGTTATTGAGTTTGTGATTTGGTCCTTGCGCAGGAAAGTGACTACACCTTCCGCGTGGCGCAGAATACCGACTTGCAGGCAGCGAGAACGGCAAAGTGCATTTTTTTGGATTCAAGAGGTAGGGGGGCAGAAATGTAGGTTCATTGCTTCTTCTACGGCCGATTGGTGGTTTGGGGCTTTGAAAGGTGTGATAGACCCAGAACCCTCAAGCTCGTCAGGGCTAAGACCTCTGGATACGTCTAGAGATCTCCAGACTTCCCTTAAACCCTTAAACCCTTAAGCCGTAAACCCTGAAGCCCTTAAACCCTAAACCCTAGACCCTTCAGCCCTCAAACCCTAAACCCTAAGCCACGAATTTCCCAAACTCCCCCTCTTTTTGCAGGTCATGGCTTCCACGGCAAGCCGGCCGCAGGCGCCCCAGGTGCGTGTGATGCGACGCCGGCCTGGAGGACTTGCCGTGCAGGCCCCTGGGAGACCTAGGGCGCTTACCCAGAGGCCCCAAAGTAGTTCCTTTTTGGGATTAACTTATATTATTCTATATATATGAACCCCAAAAAGGAACTACTATGGGGGCTATGGGTAGAGTTTAGAGTTTTTAATTAGGGTCCAGACTACAGCTACGATCAGGGCTTTTTGGGGTGCTGTCAGGTTTGATAGCGTTTCATGTCGGTGGGTTTAGGGTTGATTCGACGTGGAGGGATTTATGGTTTGGGGCTTTCCTACGTAGGTAGTTTAGGGTTTATAGCATAGTTCAGGGTTTACGAGCGTCGGGTTTTTTAGGATAGTTCAGATGTTGAGATAGTCTAGGCTGATAGTTCAGGATTAGTGGGGTTTTCGGTTTCTGGTTCCATTGCAGAAGCGTAAATCTTAGCAATACCATTCCTCAGGTCTTCATAATGCTTACTTACAACCTCATGCACACCGAAAGTCTATTCTGATTATCAAGGCTCCGCTACGACTACGGCATACTAGGACTAGGGCCGCGCAGCTGTAAACGCCACAAAAGCTTCGATGTTCAATCCCCGAGCCCGACCGTGCCTTAAAGACTTTGAGTTTATGTTTTAGAGCTTGGGGGTTTTACGGGTGCAGGGTTCTGGGTTTATGGGGATGAAGGGGCTTTAAGGGTTCTGGGTTCATAATTAATGCGGATTTGGGGGGGTGTTCAGGGTCCCTCGATCTTCCGCACAGAAGAAAAAATGTAGCTCTGTCTTTCGATTGAAGAAGTGTGGTGCTCAGGAACTTATGAAATGAGGGAAGGCAGCCATACAAGGAACAGCAATGGGAGCCACTTGTGAAGTTCATTTTTGCCGTTTTCTCCCTCCAACAAAAAACCCGCAGTCACGAAGAAGGATGCACTCGGATTACAGTAGTCTTGCACCCGAAACAACCAGGGTTTCGGCTTCGGGCGCAGGGTTCACGGCCGCTTACCGCAAAACCCGGCTTCTTTGTGAGGAACTTACAGTAATCTAATAATATAAGCACGGAACTAGATTATTTGGTCGATATGATATATGCCCTTTATCTTCACGAGATGCACTAACCTTTACCAGAAGTGCGGGAAGGTGGTGCCGCAGTCATGCTTATTGGCCAATTTGGAATGCGAGCTACAATGGTTCAAGGCCATCCGCAAGGGGGTTGCCGGGAGGACAATGAAGACGCATGTCTGGGGGTGAGGGTAGTGGTTGCTGCGCAGTGATTGTGCTTGTCGCTTGCTAATGAAAGATTGTGCAGTTGTTTGTTGGTTTGCAGCCAGTTTCGGTTACTGCTGGTGTTGGTGCAGAGGCTGTTGCTGCCTAAGTTGACGTTGTCATTGTTGCTTTCGAAGTCGATGTCGCTGCAATGACTGTTGCTGTTGTTGTTGCTGCTGCCGCAGATGCTGTTGCAAGTTTGTTCTTGCTCTGGACTGAGTGGCTCTTGTCGCTCAGGCTTCCGCAATGGGAACGTGGTCATCGAAAATCGTGACATGCGAGGACATGGAGCTAATGTTTGTCTTGATTGGGTACAGCCCCCACTCAGTAATAGTTGATGAATATTCATAATATAGATCTACTGGGACCTTAATAGTAGCCCTATTATATGCTCTTACTGTATGGGGGCAGTACCTAATGTATTCGATTCAGTTCAGATTCCACGACGGGACACGGCGACGCAGTCAGAGTTTGGGCCCTTCGTCGTCATAATGCTTGCGGATTTGGGCGTCGCATGAGGCAATGCTGGCTCGCCGAAAGGGCTCGGAAAACCAAGAGCAGAGTAAAGCCATGCTGCTGCAGCAAAGAGGGTTCCAGAAAATCAGGTACCCTGAAAACAGATCCTAAACTAGGAACTTCATCTCAAAGGGCCCCATGGAAAAGGCACTCCTGATGGTAAGAAACTCCGACGCGGCTTTGCCAAATAATCAGCTTCATGGTGCTTAATGGCGAGAGACTGGACAGCGTGACCTTCTGCCAACCATACCCCAAACCGTATACTCTAAACCCTGCACTCTACACCCCAGACTCCAAACCCTAGCGTTTAGAGAAGCACGACTTCATGAGCAATGTTGCCTCCTTGTTCCTGGCCACCCTCTCCGCAAGCATCTATTTGTTGAAGATGTCCGCGGTGCTTGTTGTTCTGGTTGTGATTGCAGCTGTGGTTCTTGATATTGCAGTTGTCGTTGCTATTCTTATAGTCATCACGTTCATTCTTCTCCTTTATGTATTCTCATGATTCGTCGTGGTAGTGACTTGCTACTCCCATCCCAAAGCCGACCTGATCCGTAAACAGCCTGCAAGGACGGGTGGGGGGCCGCTGGGCGTGCACACTGTTTGATCCAGTGTTCCAGGTTAAGGTCTCCCCCTGCTATGCCTACATAGTATAATTGTGCCTTATACCAGGCCGTACGCCAATACCTCCAAAACCTACACCCTACTACCTCTTAGCTTTTAACGGGGTGGAGGCAGCCTGGTGGAAATGAACTTTTCTGGCGCCATAGGCTTGCTTCTTCCAGGTGCACATAGGTTTAGCTGTGGTGTTCGGGGCATTAAGGAATGCTGGTGGAGCCCAGGTAGCCGTACCAGTCAACCAACGTGTGTCTCCGAGTGAGAGGTTGCTTGTTCGCTGGGATAGCAGGGCGGGAGGGTGGGATGGAACCCTAAACTAGGAAACCCTAGACCCCAAACCCCATTTCCTCAATGGGGTTTAGGCTAGTTTAGGGTGTCCAGGTCTGCGAAGTCCTTCTGGGCGATCTCGCATCGTATCCGGGCAGCACCGAGAACCCAAAGTGTAGGAGCTGGCGCTGGAATGCCCGCTATTGAACAGGGTTTCGTAGGACACTGTGCAGTTTCATCAGGTGTTTTGGTATGTTACAAGGCTGTCTTATTCATGATTTGAAGGAGGTGGCACGGGCCGCAAAAGCACCTTTGTAGAATACTTTAACCCATTATCTAGGTAACTGAGCCCTGGGGCCTCTGGCGTCGTACGTTGCCGTCCCTCATAAACCCTACCATAGTGGCTCATCAAACCCTTAACCCCTTGCCCCCATGAAACCCCGTTCCCTTAAATCCTAAACCCAAAACTCTTCAACCCCTAAACCCTAAACCTCTAAACCCTAAACCCTACTAACCATGTCATGCGTTACTGGGCTTCGCCGGTCTGGTGAGGTGCAGCGACTATCGGCTCCGAGCCCGGTTTCGAAACGCAGTGGGCTGGGCCGAGGACCCACCAAGTCTCAAGTGTTATCGGTGCAGTGCCCTTTTAAGGGATCTAGAAGGGTTGCTATACAGGTACGTACAAAAAAAGGAATGTAGGGTTGGGTTTGGGCGTTAGGGTTTTGGATGTGGGATTGAGGCTTCAGGGCTTAAGGTTTAGGGTTTCTGGCTTAGAGGGGTTTGTGCGGCTCTTTGAGCATGTTAAGCCTAAGGGTCCATGTGCCCATGCAGTATCTGTGAGATTTATACTTGAGCCTGAAAGGTGGTCCTATACAGCGACCGGAGGGGCAACGGCTGTAATGACGTGCTATACTATTGTGACTACAGTCGTTGTCTCTCGCTTACGTGGTGCATTTGCTATTGGGGTTAGTATGGTTTTGTTTGATTCTTGTCGTGTTGCTCCCCAGTTGTTACCATTTGTTTTTCCATGATCACGGCTGCTGTTGCGTTTTCGGGGTCTTTTGTTTTGGTGGCAGCAGCATTTGCCGTCAGTTTTCATTTCCAGAAGACATCGCACCCAGCAAGTTTTTTGCTTTGGCACTGTTGCCTGTGTGTAGATTGCTTGCCGTTGTCTCGATGAGTACTGCTGTTTATATAGTTGAGATACTGTCATGGCTAGGATAGTCCTGAGGCCAGTGACTATATATAACAGTATATAACAGCGTTGCTGTGATCACTCTCACGACAGTATGTTTGCCGGCATTATCTTTACTTGGCTTGCTTGCCTTCAGCTATTGTGACGGTCATGATGGCCGTGTTGATGAACTGCGGGTGTTGCTCGAGGCAACTGCACTCAGCTCAACCATCTTCGCAGTAGCGCGTGGCAGGGGAACTGTCTCGGAGACAGTTGTGCGATTGATGTTAAATTGCGCTGTGGATTTTAAGTTGTACTTCGTTTATTGCCGTGAGCGCTAGTTCGCCCCGCCATTCAAGATATTCTCGCATCTACTATATCAAACTGATAAAACCCTACACCAAACTTAAATTCACCAGAAAGCCTCAAGCTTTCCTCTGCAGCCTAAAAGCTAGATGTTCATTCGACCTTACTCCCACATTGAGTGGGTTGGCAGTATGACAGTATGATGCCCGGAGAGCAAACCGCCAAAACCTCTAGGAATGTAGGAATTGTAGTAGCATCAAGACATCATGTGGTAATATTCTTCTATACACCCTGCCTGCCTTCAGGCTTCCACGCCGTAAAAAGTCTAGAACACATCCTAAACCTTATAGCCCACCAGGGGCCGTGCTTGGATAACAGGTAATATCACACTTTTGATGACAACCTTTAGTTGAAACCCACCTCAACCATGATCGAGGCTCCTTGTAGAAATCCTCAGACTAGCCCTTTCAGACACCCTTTTAAAACCCTTACAGACACCACTGTTCAAACCCGTTTGCACATCTTTGCAGTAACCCTTATAATTTATAAGCAACTTATCGCACCCCTTCTAGAAGCCCTCATAGAAACCCTTGTCGTACCCGTTATAGAAAGCCATTATGGTCATCCATGGAGAGGCAGCCCTTTCACTGGGGCCTAAGCCGTCCTGTCATAGAGCCTTACACTACACCCTAAAAGCATCGGCTTTTTAGTAGACCCTCAGAAAGACCTTTAAAGGAACCCTTAACAGGGTTCCCTTAAAGGGTTCCAGGCTCCCTTAAGCGAACTTTTTAAGGGTTCCCTTAAAGGGTGTTGTTTGAGGATCCCTTAAAGGATTTCTGACAGGAACCCATAAAGGTTTCCGTCAAGCGGGCCCTTTGGATCCAGGACTTCTCGGCGGAAGCCTTCGGCCGCACCTCAGACAGCGCCGCAGCGCCTTCCGATCTCCGCGTGGCTGCCAGGCTCCGGGTGTAGGGGACCCATAAAGGGTTCCTTTAAAGGAACCTTACTTAGACTTAGACGCCAAAGCCTTGCAGGAGCTCACCCCTTTTATGGGGATCCCTCTCAGGGATCAGAAGGGTTGTAAAAAAGCTGCACAGGTTTTAAGATGGCCCCAAAGGCCTGGGCTCCTTTACGGGATCTATTCAGTAACTCTAAGGTCGCCATAAGGGTTTTGGGTTTACGTAGGCTTGTAGGGTTTAATTACGGTTCGGGGGTAGCCCGTAGCCGCATAGAAGGCATAGAATCCATGTAAAGCACAAACCTACATTCCAAATCCAAAACCCGAAGCCCGAAACCCTGAACCCCTGAACCCCTGAACCCTAAACCACTACACCCTACACCTCAAAGCCCAACCCCTATAGTAACCCTTATAGTAACCCTTACCCCTAAACCCTAAACCCTAAACCACCAGAGTAACTCTTATAATAGCCCCTGAAGCCAGGCATCCCGGCCGGGTGATCTTGGAGTGCTCCGTGGCAGACCCCGAGGGGGCTCCTGTCACCACCTTGGAGGCCGGAGGTTCCCTCGGAGAGCACTTTGATTACTTAGTATGATCACTTAGGGGTACTTAGAAATGATTAAGAAACAGCTAAAATTATAATTTTTGCTAGGGCTCTAAGTTCAGTATAGGATAAGGAAGGGCTATCATAAGAGTTACTCTGATAAGGAAGGGCTATTATAAGAGTTACTCTGATAAGGAAGGGCCATTATAAGAGTTAATCTAGGGTTTATGGTTTAGGGTTTAGGGGTAAGGTTCACCACAAGGGTTACTATAGGGGTTGCTAAAAAGGTTATAAGTTTAACGGTTACTATGAGGGCAACCATAAGGGTCACTATAACGTTACTGTAAGGGTTATTGTAAGTGTCACTATTCTGGTTATTGTAGGGGTTTCGATAAAGCTTACTATTCGGTTACGACCAAAGATTACTGTAGGGTTTTTCGTGAAGCCTATGAGGGTTCCGATATACGGGTTACCATGAGGGTTCTATAAGGGTTTACTACTTGTGCAGGGGCTTAGATAAGGCCTGGTTTTACAGGATCTCGAAGAGGTTCTAAAGGATGCCCAATTCAGGAACAGTGCTCAAAAGAGTGTGGAGTTCTTTGTAATCTACGGATTGTTCCGTAGCGAAGGGGATGCTGATAGTAACGCTGGCGATTGCAACTCCGGGAGAAGTAGCGCATGCCTACCCTGACATCCACACGAACCCAAACGCTGCACCCCAGACCCAAAACTCCTTAAACCCCTAAACCCGAAACTGATCTAAGCACCGACATCGACAGGTGCAGCTTTGTGGGAAGGCCCGGCCCTTGAAGAAAGGGTGCCGGCAATCGTGGATTGGAAGTCCTCCCTTCAAATCCCTCACACCCTAAATCCTGAGCCCGAGGTGACCTGGAGAGACATTCCGAGCACTTCCAACGCTGCCACAGAGAGCTGGGACTGCCGAGCCTTAGGGGGGACATACATGCTTTGCAGCCTGCCTCGAGCCTCTAGAAATCCTTACCCCACCTTGCCAAAATTCGCAACCGTTGCAGCCGTTGATGAACCTATTGCGTCATTGCAACTGCCACACACACGTCTTCACAGCTGCGGTCGGGGGTTCATGGAGCCCTTCAGATGCGATGGGCACCCCTCAGCCCTCTTACGCATCACCCACCTATCCAAACCCCTAATGTAGAGTTGTGCTCAAACCCCTACACACCTAAATTAGAGCCGAAACACCGTAAGTCCTCATAGTAAACCCTTTTCGTGACTCAAAGGTTCTCTTGGCATGGACATTTGATTTTCAAGGTTAGGTCCCGATACTAAATACTAAACCCTTCTGGAACTACCTGATTTCCTCTTCAAGGAACTTCATTCTACTTATGAGGGCCCCTATATTGTGTTCACCTCCTCTTGATGTAGTAACCTTTGTAGTAGCCCTTATTGTCGTATCCCCCATTGTATCCTCCCCTATGGTAACCATTTCAGTAGTTTGCCTTATAGTATCCCTTGTGATCTTCCCTATGGTATCCGATGTAGCATCCCTAAAAGAGTATCCCTTATGGTCCCCCGAAGCTTCGCTTGCCTTTGGGCCTCCAGGACTGGGATGACCTGGGTGGTGGACCACCGCGCGCGGTGCAGGCCCTCTGCTTCCCTTGCGCCAGGGGAGCCTTGCACCCGTGGGCTTACGTGCATATACTGCAATATATGTATATACAACCATATTTACATAAAGTTATAACTTTCTGTAAATATAAGTTCTATGTAACTACATCTTTATATATATATATACTTTGCAATTCAGGAAATTGCCAAATCTTGAAAAGGAGGTCTTTTCCAATGGCTCAACAGGCTCTGATGTTTTGTGGCTTCGGGCATCGGGCTCGTCTTGAAGTTCGGCGCTTAAGGCTTGGTTTGGGGTTACTTGGAGGTTCATGGGTAGTTATAAAGGGCGTCATAAGTAGGGTAACTATATTTTAAACCCATGAACCTCCAAGTAGGGTTAGTTTATAGTTTAGGGTTGTCGTTCATGTTATGCTTCATCAGTTGTGGATATCTGTGTTCGGATCGAAGTCATGACTTGACATCTCGCGACAAGCTCTAAACTAAGCCTAAGTCCGACAACCTGTGACATCCCGCCACTTTGAAGGCACCAACAACCACAAGCCCCTCATGCGCTGAAACCCAAACCATCCGTAGTGTAACCACCTCGAGCAAATTATACTGGACTGTTGTCGGTACTTTCGAGAAGGTGATATTATTGCGACTGCCCCTAAGCCCGAAGCGGCTGCCCCAAGAAAAAAACACCCCTGCGTGGCAAGGTCGAGGTGGCCCTTTCCAGTGACCAGGCCTGGTATGCTTGGGCTTATACCTTATGTTGGGGTCCTTATAATAAGGATCCTACTATTTAGGGTGCTATATTAGGGTCCCTTTTTTATAGGGTTTTAGGGGGTTCAAAAGTTTATGATCAGATGTTTAAGGGGATAGGGCTTTGCACTGCGCTTCAGGGTGTGGGGAGTTAGGGTGTAAAGTTCTGGGTTACACAGGGCTTCTTGACTTCAGGAATCGATACTGCGAGCTACGGCAACCCAAAAAAGCAGCCAAACCCTAAACCCTAAACCCTAAACCGTGACTCTAGGATCTGGGGCCCTGCACTTTCAGGTCAGCCAGCTGCGCGTGTGGTCCCGCAACATTGTGGGCAGGTGCTATGCCTCCGGGAGCCGGGTTATGTATTCCACATGCTGTTATATATATATATATATATATATAGATATATATATATATATATATATATGTATATGAATACATGTGTATATGACTGAATATAGATGTATATATCATGTCATATTTCTATGTGCTATATGAGTCATATGAGATTCGTTTGCTTTGTTTAGGTCATTGCGGTCCTTCTGATCATTCCGGACTAGGCGTCACCGTGCTGAGGTCTCTTTTGCCGTCCCCGGCGCTGCTTTGCCAGCCCTCTTCCAGGCACCTCTGGAAGAGACACAGTGTTAAACATCTTGGCGCAGGTCGTGAGTTTCAGTACTTCAGCTGCGGTATCAGGTACCCCCAAAGCCCCACTCCAATCATTGAGTTGCTGACCGTGCATGTGTTTATGAAAATACGGGACGTGAATTTAGCTTAGGATCCTCATTATGATAACCCTAGATTCGGTCGTGGAGTCTTGCGCAAGGGAGGGATGTAACATCTGGAATATTGGCCAGAGTTGGGGTTTGTAACATATTCTATTTTGACTCTGCGCTCTCTCTCTCTCTCTCTCTCTCTACGTATACATGTACATATATATATATATATACATACATACCTATTTTGACACACACACACACACTATACTTGTTGGGTCTATAGCAGGTGCAATGGAACAGTGGTACTTCACGTAGGGGTCCTTAGCGTGAGGACCCTAGTTTTTGGAGACTGTCCCAGGGTCGTCTGTTTTCTGACACTCTCCCATGCTTGTCGTGCATGTCTCTGAAGATGACAATCGCTTCACCCATGGCAGTTTGACGGGGTCCGGGTGTGGAGAGGTTTAGAGTTTAGGGTTTAGGGCGAAACCCTCCAGCCGATACCCTGCCATCAAACTACGACAAGCTGGACGATGATTTGTTCAGTTCTTTGCGAGCCCTCGGCCCTTACATTCCAGAAACTTTCTAAAGCCGTGCCAAGGACGGGCCACGGATATCCAAGGATCCTCTGTGCATCCAAAATATACACACAAATACAGTTATACAAGTAATACAATATTTCAACATTATGATATATTACATGCTTTGCTATGTCACAGTTTACTATGTTATCTTGGAAAGCACTGTACTAGATAATACAATGTTATATCATTGCATTTCTTGATAAAACATATTCAAGGAAAATATATACCACTACTTAAATCCAATATCATATAACTGCTAGTGTATATTACACGGTCTGTTTTATATAGTTGATATTCTAGATTAAATAAACTCCTATTAAACTATACCCGATTATGTTAAATAGCATAAAATTTCATCGCAGAATGTTATAACATGTTGTACGTCATATTATACACCATGCTACATATTATATGTTATATTATATAACGTCTAATCTCAACATGTATATATATATACACAACATTATGCAACCTTATAACCTGTGGTAGTATATTATGTTAAACTATGATATAACATGTTATGTTAAGTCTTGTCACATTACGTAGTATCATATCAAATTACAGAAGCTTCCCGACAATGTAGTTCTCGGAAAGGCCGGGAGCTGTCTCCGAGCTTCACTGCACCTGGCGCTGCACATGAAGCCTCAACCCTTCCACCCTGGCTCCTACGGGCTCCTAAAGTCCTCAGCGTTCCTGAAGAAGGGTTCCTAACATTTCCTTGACAAGGGCCTCACAAGGCTTCTCTTAAGAGCTCCTGAAGGTTCCGTCGAGGGCTCCTAGAGTTTACTGGAGGTTCCCTGAAGGACTCCCGAAGGTTCCTTGAAGGGCTCCTCAGGCTTCCTTCAAAGGGTTGAGTGAGTTCATAGGGACTTTGCTATGATGATTGTTGGCCTTACGGGGGGCGGGGGGATAGATTTCGGAAGGATCCTATGGATTTGCTTGGGCTTTCGAGCTTAGTAGTTCTTGCTGCAGACTCTCAGACCCTCAACATACTATACTATGTTCTACTCTGCTATTCTGTACTTAGTATGTGTATTATGAAGTACTATGAGGTTTTTCTTGTTTTGTTCAATCTTCGACCCCGAATTCGGGGAAGCTTCACCCACAAGCAGACGGCTTTTGCTTCATACACCACGCACCCCTTTATTGCCCGGTGCGTAGTAGGGAATGCGGGAAAGGGTTATTGGGACTACTATCGGTGACCTTAAGGGGCTATCATAGGGACCTATTTCCCCATTCCCTACTAAGAACCACAGACAATTTAAGCACCCACCCTTCACCTGGAACGGGCTGAACATCCTGAACCCAAACCCCCGAAATTCCTAGACCCAAATCCCCGAACCCCCTAAACCAGAAAACCCCAAACCCTAAATTCAATCCCCTATACCCTTATAGTAACCCTTGTTATAAATCCCTGTAGTACCTATATAGAAACCCTGATGAAATCCCTGGAGAACCCTTATAGTAACCCCAAGTATCGGTCCCTGTGGTACCCTTAGAGTAACCCTGATTATAGATTCCTGTAGTACCCTTAGAGTAACCCTTATCATAGATCCCTGTGGTACCCTTATAGTAACTTACCCAAAGTACCCTTGTAGTAACCCTTATCAAAGATCCCTTACAGGATTAGACCCTCGCCAGCTCTCCCATCCAGGCCCACATCGGGGACTCGATTCTTTGAAGCTGGACTGGTTGACCTACGATCCGGCGTCTCAACGCAAGAGAAGAAGGATTTAGGTTACAGGGTTTAGGGTTTTGGGGATTACGGAATAGGGTTTTGGGGGATTAGGATATAGGATTTAGGTTTCAGATTTTTAGTGGTTTGGGGTTTGGGGTTTAGTGTTGCGGATTTTGGTTTAAGGAGCTGGATGGTTTCCAATATATAACACTAGTTTGGGATATGCCTAGACCTTCATTTTTTGGTAGAGCCCGTGTCAATTTTACCATATGAGGGTTCATAATAAGAAGCTAGAGAAAGTAGGTTATGGTAGTTCAAGGCAAAGATAGGGTTTGGGGTTGTAAGTTCAGGGTTCAGGGCGTGGGAGATTCCCGAACCCCTTAAAAGGTCGCTGCACTGGAAAAGGCCCATTGCATTAAATAAAATCAAACCTCAAAAGCTCTTACAGTACAAGAAAAGCCTAAATGATATTCAGACGAGTGTCGTATTGCAGCGTCTGAAAGTGACCGGGTGACCAGATCCGTCAACCGGCCCGGACCGACGGACCTGACCGCGCGCCCGGACTGACCTGACCGGCTGACCGGGTCCGGCCGGTCGGCGTCTGCTGCCATCGATGTCCTTGGATATCAGCTCTCCGTGTTGTTGGCAGTGGCGGCGCGCCTGAAAATTCAAGCGATGAACAAGTGCAGTCTCCACCGGGACAGAGCATGGTCGCTGGAACGCAACAATCGCACCCTCTTCCAAGTGCCCAGTCCTTTGTTAGGTCAGTACGGTCGCCCGGTCCGGTCAGTCCGTTCGTCAGGTCAGTCCGATAAGTGCTAGGCAAGTCTAGTGAGCAATATTCTAGTGAGCAAAACCGCTATATTTTGCTCAAAACACCGAATCTCTGAGACCCCTTAAACCCAGAACTCTTTGATAGCTTCCTTCTTTGGTTTCCTGGTTTCCGTATTCTAAAGTCATCAGTGAATCGGCTATCCAACAAGAAGAGCTCTTCTGGAGACTTGAGGTAAGTCTTAGCAAATCTCAACAGCCGTGTGTTCTTAAGCCCTTCACCCCAAAAACCCCTTGACCCGACCCCCGTAACACTCCTCAAGCGCCAAACGAAAGGAGGGAGCTCCCATCCTTGAGTGCAGCGTGGAATTCTGGCCGGAAGATGCCTTGTGGCCTGCCACGCAACAGGCACCCTTGGGCGGTTTAGGGTTTAGGGTTTAGGGGTTTGGGGTTTAGGGGGTTTAGGGGGTTTAGGGTGGTTTAGGGTTTAGGGGTTTAGGGCTTGCTTCCTAAATGCTGGCGAGCTTGACATTCAGTGCTCCTTGTATCCCTGAGTCGAGCAGGCCTGCTGCCGAGATCTGCTGAGACAGTCTTCAGTTTCATCAATTCTTCAAGGATCCTCAGTTTGGGCGAAGCGTTCCGGGATCAGAGTTGCTTTTCTGTGAAGCCCTTATGCAGCCTTCAAAAATCTATAGGTCTTCTGGGTTGCAGATGCAGCCTTCAGCTATAAACCGTAACCCGAAATCCTCCTCGAGAGACGATGTTCTCACTTCGCAGGTCACTGACGTGGTGCGGACACGTCAGGATGGTCCATCCATGTGGAAGGCAGGGCAGCTTCTGCTATGTGTAACAAGCGTGAACAACAAAGTGACAGGGAGACAGGCAGAGTCTTACCTTTGGTTAGTAGGGAATGGAGGAATGGGGGTACAATTCTAACTACCATTACTACCATTCTTCCATTCCCTCAAAACCGAAGGTAAGGAGTAGGGCCCATCATCTCTCATACTGAGGATGCCGCTCCTAAGGGGCCTCACAACAGCAAGCATCCCATAATACAGGGCCCTCATCGCAAGGGTCCGTCCTTATAGATTCAGGATCCTACTACGTGGCTCTGTCGGGTTTTGATGTCGCGATGCTAGTCATGGCAAGGCAACCGTACCTCATATCCCTGAACCACTAAATCGCCCCCAACCTCAAACCCGTTCTCTCTCAACCATGAACCAGCAATCAAAACTTTCCTCAAGCACACATAGCTCGCAGAGGCCTCTTTAGTGGGGCTGCAGATGGAGACTTCCTACGCCGCTTTCTGCGCATTGTGAAAGCCCTGACGCTTGTGCAGGTCGCTGTAGGGCGAAGGGCCCGGCACACTAATATAGGGGACGAAAATTCTTATTTACCTATACTATTTTGGGGGCTCCTTATAATTATAGCAATTAAAATGGGCCCCACAACCCTATTCTAATTATTAAGGCCCCTATATTACATCGATTGTGTCTGCATGGCGCGATCCCACCGTATTACACTGCGGAACCGAAACCAACCTCCCGACACGATGAACCATAGCCCCCACGGGAGTGCTTCTGCCAAACATTATACTCTTGAACCTATTGCTTTGCATTCAATTGCAGGGCATCTCGTCATCTATACTGTGCAAGTTAGCTTTGGCTGAAACTAGTAGATGTCATCAGGATTAAGATGACCACGACGGTGATCGCAAGGCTGAGTCTTGTGTTCGTTTTTTGCCTTGCGATGTGCATGTTAATTTCTGTTGATATGACCATCACGACTACGACCGCGAGAAGTGTTGGTGTTAGAAGCCATTGCTGGTGGTGCCAGTAAGCTAGTACTCCTGGGTGGTGCTCATAGTGGCAACGGCAACTTCGGTTGTGGTGGTGGTGATGTTCTGTTCTGCATTGCGTGAGACCAGTGATAATATATTCTCTTCCTGTGCATTTCATCAACACCACACCACTCCTGCTGCATTGTCATGCTTTGCCTTACCGCTGTCTTCTGAGAAGAAGCAGATGAAACTCGCAGGGCTCAGGAGTGCTAGGGTGGGTTTAGGAATTAGGGGTTGTTTGATAGCTTTAGGGCATTAGGGGTTCCTCAAAATCCGATCGATGGTTCTGTCGTTCGCTTGGTGCGAGTCATCAGCTGCCTGAAAAGAAGAGCGACACCGCCAGTCCTTCCGGGCCCCAACAGGTTTTAGGGTTCAGGGTGTAGGGTTCGGGGTTTAGGTGTGATGTAGTATACCTTTAGCAAGCAACCCTGTCTCTCTCAGGTGGTACGAGTCCGCTCCAGGAACGAGGTTGGCTGGTCCGAAGAGCCTTTGAAGCTACCAGACTTCCGCGGCTGAGCTGGAAGGTTTGGGGTTTTAGGTCCAGGGTTCAGGGTTACAGGTATAGGGCTGACGGGTTCAAGGGAGTACAGGTTTATAGGGATAAGAGTGCAGAAGCAGCATGATGCTGTGATAGGGTCATGGGGCTTTGTGGGTTTAGGAATAGGCAGTGCCAGTATTCGTACACATGTAGTATACCGTACTTCCAAACCCTATTCTATCTGGATGTATCAATACAGGAGTGCTTGGGGGATGGGGTTCAGCGTTGTTGGCTTTGGAGGCTTCTGGCAGGGTTTTTGACATGTTTATCGACAACAAGTGCGGTTTAGGGCTTGTAAGGGCTCGGGATGAGACTGGGACCACTCAGGGTCTAAACCTTAAACTGCAGAGCCCTCTACCCTAATGCGCAATCCCGGAGGTCCTCCGGACGGTAAGCGGGTGCTTGGTTGCTGCATGTGTATCAAGGCTAGAAAACCACGGTATTTGCGTAGTTTTCGTGGTTTGCAGCACAGGTAGAGGTCCTGGCATGACAGATGATGTTTCCTTTTTTCTGGACAACAGCGTGCACGGTGCTGTACTGTAGGGCTGGAGAACTAGTTTCGGCGGCGTACATTGGACTAAAACCAACATTTTAGCAATACTGCGGAGCATTGGTGTTGTGTCAGAGATGTGTTTCGTACTGCGTGGCGTGGGTATTTTCGGGTAGCATCTAAAAGCAATGGTTTTCGCGATGTATTATTGTGTTCGCCGGCTTGACGCAGGCCTGAGAGTTAGGGTTTTTGTGTTTGGGCAGATAGCAATCTTGCTATTTGGGACGACAAGTTCGTTTCAGACAGATAGCAAAACAGCATGCAATGTCACCAGACAAACAAGAGTTTTGAATTAATGTTTAAAGTTTTTTGTTTGGAAAGCCCAGAAAACGTGAGACTTTTTCTGGTTAGAGTGTCTGACAAGTAAGAGGAAAACAGCAGCAGCAGGAAGCAACAGCGTCATTGTCATTGTTATCATCGTCGCCATCGATATCCTCTGCATGAACAAGCAACAACATCAACACCATTAGCATCATCCAGCATCATCGTAACCAGGAACATCAACATCATGATCAGCATCATCATCATCATCACCGTCATCATCCTCACCATCGTCATCACGGTCGAAGCAATCTGTTCAAGGAATACAGATATGAATCTGGAGTTGAAAGGTTCTTGATAAAACAACGAAAACTATGGTATTTACTCTTCCGCAAGACCACCCCTGCATGGAGCAACAAAAAGTAATACTAGATGCGAGCCGCATTCGCATGGACGTGATTACCCCCCCCCCCCGCCCACCCCACAAACCCCCAAACCAAAGACCCCTAAGCCCCAGACCCCTGGACCCTAAACCTAAACCCTTCCAACAGACAGGTGGCCCTGTCCTGCGAGGCGGCCAATGGGCCAAAGGCTGAGGGGACCACAGCGCGATTGGTTCAGGCGCTGTCGTCAGAGTCCCGGCATCACCTCCTTGGGGGAGCAGGCGCGCCAGCCGCCAGTGCCAGAGAAACTCCAATGGGTCATGGAGGCCAGTGGGGCCAGTGGCGGCAGTGGCCGCTCGTCAAGGCGGCAGCAAAGACGCAGACGGTAGTGCACTGGGAGAGCATCGCCCTCAGAAGCAGGACATGCACAGAGCGCAAGGCCTTCATGTGAGCCTGCGAGTCTCGAGCAGTAGATTTGCCTTCGGGTGAGGGTTTACGGTTGAGGGTTTTAGGGTTTGCCAGCGTAGCGTGGCGCCCTCAGCAACTCAATTGAAATTTCTTTCCTTAGGGGCGCGCCCCTAAGCCCTAAGCTCCAAAGCCACAAAAAAACATGTCGTCGACCACGACTGACACCGACAACCCCGAAGATGAAGGCCAGCAGAAGCCCCAATCCACTGTGGGTTTTTGGCGACATGCCTCGCCCTCGACCTGTTGCTGAGCTTTGGGCACATCAAGGAGGATCGGGGGCTCGTCGCACAATGAAGAAGGCAGCAGCGAATGAACGAATATTTTCGGGGTGACTGGAGGCCAGCCTGGCTTCGGGATTATGCAGAAGCAAAGCTACGACGTGAAGCCGCCCTATAAGCTCGGCTACAGAGGCACCAGTGCCCCAGCAAGAAAGTGCAGCAGGACAAGGTCTCGAAGAGCAGGCACCTGAGAGTGAACAGCGACCTTCGTCTCCATGGTGGATGCAGTGGTCACAGGAGGAATGGGAGGCATGGAACATGTGGAGCTCTGAGGAGACCTCGTCGACAAGCTCTACTCTACATCATGGACCCCTACCTGGACGCCCTCTTTGACTACCTGGGACACCAGCGGCATCACCACTAGCTTGCCGAACTATGGACTTTTTCCTGACGTTCGTCCAGCCCGTCCCCCTCAGCCGATGAATGATGAGACAATCCTGATGCAGCTCACGGGTGCCGAGAGACAACGTCTTCGTGAGAGTGGCGTACCTCAGAGAGATGTGATTCGCTTGGCAGACCTACTGGACTCGCTTGAGACACATCAGGACGAAAATCGTGGACCTGAAGCACGATGGGCTCTGGGGTGTCTCCTGCAGAGGCTGATGGAGGGACAGGATGCTCTGGAAACAATTGCCGAAATCCTTGCCCGGCGACTGGTGCCCAGAGGTTTTCTTCCTGTCCGAAGGGTGCCGGCTACGGAAATTCAACGGTGGAGGCTGTTCAACTGGGCTCGACAGGGAGTTCAACTCATGGTGGAAACATTGGAGACTCATGTGCGAACGCTTCTGCAACCTGGGGAGACTTCGTCAAGTGTCTCCGACCTGCCTGGAGCACAACCCCCAGTACCTGCACAACCTGCCGCGGATGAAGTTTCTCCAGAAGAACATGGAGATGGTGAAGCCGCACCCAGGAGTATCGAGAGCATTGACAGTGGCTTCGCTATAGATGCTGATGGCTTCATCATTGAAGTTGAGCCCCACGTGCCAGTTCCTGGTGAAGCACCCAGAGGCCCGCCACCTCCTGCACCGGTCCGATGGGACAGGTCTCGCTCGAGGTCCCGCAGTCGAGAGGCAGAGTCGTCGTTTTCATCGAGCTCTTCGTCAGGCCCAGCACGAGATGAGTTTCCTCCACATCCGTCGTCACCGCATGGCATTTGGCGTGAACCTGACGACCACCAGAATGACCACAACGAAGAGACGTCCCAAGTGCAGTTGGAAGCTTTGGTTTGTACCTCGCCGACTACGTCAACTACGACAACTGGAACACCGGAAGATGTCGTGAGGGACGAAACTAACAGTCAAATGGTTCAAGGCAATCTGGTCGACGTGGTAGATGTTATGCAAAGGCTCCTCGCGCGCAGACGTCATCTTCAGCATTGCGACCGGTTGGTTGGTGTTGCAATGGAGGAGCTCACTCAATGGCTCCGGGTGCCCCTGTCGGCTAGTCCACTGAACGGACGCAGCATGGAGGCCGCCATTTGGCACACCATCGGTCAACAGGCTGATCTCGGATCTACGAGCCTGGGGGCTCTCCCCGTGCCACCGATGATCCCGGCATATCTTCTCCAACCTGACCTGCCGCGCACGACCGAAGAAGCATGGGATGCCTTTCATCCACGTGAAACTCGTCATACAATCACGGGCTTCAGAAGCAGGGCATGGCAGTCACACATGGTTCGACTCCACCGTCGTGAGGGCCTTCCAGTACCAATGGGTCGATGGCCAGCTTGGGATGATCGTCGATTACTACTTTTACAGAGTGACGAGAATGTGGCCATCCGCAACTTCCCGACAGAGTTTACTCTGCCCAGTGTTGATGCTGGTGTGGTGAGCTGGCAGTCTATGTCCCGACGGCGAACGTCACATGCACCTGGCCCTCGCTCTGGTCGTCGACGAGGCTTTGTTCGTCGTCCAACCCCTCGGCTTCGTCCTGATCTTCATCATGCTGCAAGTGACCAACCTGCTGTTCCTCATCCACATCGACCTGTACCTCATGCACCTGTTGCTCGTCCTGGAGGATAACCCGAAGGTCGCCTACTACCTCTTGGAGCTGGAACAGGTCTGAGTGATGACTCCCACGATGGTGATGCTGTACCTCATGGTGACATCTCGAATGAAGAACATGATAATGGCGAAGTCTCGATTGAAGGGTCTGAAGCTGAACCTGATGAAGAGCAAACTCGCCTGCTTGGTACTCGTGATCGTGATAGGAGCCGAAGCCGAGATGACCTTGATTGACATGCTGCCAGTGAGGGCTTCTAGTAATGCAGTGCCTTTCGAGGCGGGTTTTGGACCCGTATGTCATGCGGAGAAAGAGCTATTGCATTAAAAAAACCTTCAGCCCCAAGCCCTAAACCCCTGTAGACCCCAAACCCCTGAACCCTAAGCCCCAACATCCCCAACCTTAGAAGCTAAGCCCCCTTCGGCCGTAGCAAGGAACAGCAGATCGACCAGAGGCACCCAAAGATCTCCGCTGTGTCGACCTCGGCCTTTCTTGAAAGGTTTAGGCTTTCAGGGGCTTAGGGTTTAGGGTTTTAGGCTATATGCTATAGGCTATAGGGTTTAGGTTCAGGGTTTTCTTTATTGAAAGGTTCTGGAGTTTTGGGGGTTAGGGTTCAGGGGTTTAGGCGCTTTAGGGTTTTAGGGTTTAGGGGTTTAGGGGTCTAGGGTTTTGGGGGGGTTAGGGCGTGGGGCTTAGAGTCTGAGAGCACAGGCCTTAGAGCTAAAAGTGATCGGTTTGGGACTGTCCTGCTTCTTGTGCAGTGTGGATGACCGGCTTTCGTGGGATCATCGGCATGTATGTTTGTGTCAACAGGCTGCTGCGTAGTTCAACGGTTTTCTTGATACGCGCGTCAAGCCAAAATATTGCCAACTCCTTCTAAACCCCTAAACCCCCAGACCACGATCAATATCAACACGATTTTAGCCCTTATTGAGACCTGCGGTTCTACGAGGCGGGGATGTGACTGCCACTTCCATACAGCTCCATTTCGACCTGCGCGCCTGGGCAATAGAGAGCAGAGCCCGAGTCTTCCTTCGACACGAGTCGTTAGATGGGTGGTTGTCAAAATTAGGGTCCCTTTTTGGGTACCCTAAATAGTAGGTGCCGTACTATAATAGGGACCGAAAAGGGGACCATAATTTCGACAACCACCTACATGTTTGCTGTGTTTACCGTTTGCTTACAGCTTACGTGGTAAGTGAAGCTCCGATGTGGCGAGACACGTGCTGCATAAAAGGTTGTCAGCTAGCAGTCTTGCAGTTCGTCACAGCATATGCACCCCAGAGTACTAGAGATCCAGCAACGACTGTAGCAAGAAGTGAACTCATCGTACCATAAGGTCTTGCAGCGCGTTTCCTTCTGACTTCATATAGCAACGAATTAGTAAATTAGAGTGTGCTGAGTTCGGGAGGTTCCCAATTCAAGCTTAAATCCTCATCAAGCTAAGTCCGAGTGAAGCTTAGATCCCGAGGCCTTCAACCGACAAACACAGGATGTTCTAGTTGTGATGTAACTGTGATGTATATCACTGTAGTTTTGAGTATGTTTACAGCATATGCCAGTGTTTGTACAGTATACTGTAGTGTATCTTGTCATATGAAAGTAAATATGTGGCCAACCTGAACCCATCGAAGGTTACAGAGCCTTGCGTCACAGGCTAAGGCCTAAACACGAGAACCACATAATTACACGGACCAAGCTCCCATTGCTTGGATGACTGTTTTGGAGGTGCCCTGCAGGGTAAAACCGCAAAGCCAAAACCCGAAAGCCTGTCAACCCCCAAACCCACGCCCTTAACACCTAAAAATCCTATAGGCGCCACGCTGAACCCAACCAAGGCTACGACCCTGCACAGCTGGCCGCTGTTCCTGGCCTCAACGGCATTTGGGTGGAGCAGGCGTTGGTCAGCAAAAAACCCGGATGTTTGCACTGGGTTTACGGCCCAGTGTATAATTCTAAGTTCGATGTGAGGCTACCGTTTGGCCAACAAGCCCAGCAATCTTCTCAGGGCTTTCCTATCGCTGCGAAGAGGCCTAAGCTCCCCTGACATTCAACCACGAGGACACATCAACCCAAGTGCGTACTATAGGGCCTTCAATAATTACCTATACCACATCTTCTGGTGGGTTCCTTATTATAGATATAGTAAATTGGGCGCCAAGGGCCAAGACCCTATTCCAATTATTAAGGCCGCTATATTACGGGTTCGATCACTTGACCCATGAACCCAACAATCCCCAACCCGTACAATCCTCAACCATCGGACCCCAAAACCGAAACCGTAAACCCTGGAGCCTACCTAAACCCCGGACTCCTAAACCTCCAAACCCGACGTCCTGAACACCAACATCCTATATAAACTCTTAAATCCTAAACCCCCAGACCGAAAGCCTGAACTCCCAAAGCGAAGATCCTGAACCCTGAAAGCCGAAAACCCCCAAACCGAACCTCCCAAGCCCTCAAACTCCTAAAGCCCCAAACCCGAAGGCCTAAACCCTAAACTCCTGAAGGGTCCTAAACCCTGCACTCCTGATGGTCCTAAGCCCTAAGCTCCTGAAGGTCCTAAGCCGAAGTCCGAAAATCTTTGCCCATTATTAAGGGCCAACAGGGCTCTATAGTAGAGGGTTTTTTGGGGGGTCCCTGGCACGAAGCCCACCTCCTGAACTCTTGGCCCACCAAGGCCCAAACCCTAAACCCCTAAACCCTAAACCCTAAACCCCTAAACCCCTAAACCCCTAAACCCTAAACCCCCAAAGCCCCAAAAAGGGCCCAAGAAACCGGACCGGAGGCCTTTGCGTTGAGTTGGCAGCCCCTCTCTTCTGAGCGCCTGGAGATCACCGAGGCCAAGCTTCTCCTCTTTTTTGGCTGTTTTAGGGCGTTATCCCAAAGGGTCCAAGTCACCATATAGTATATAGACTTTAAGGTACCAAGTACCTACTATAATGGTACTTGGACCCTTTGGCATAGGGTTTAGTGTTTTTTTTTGTTTTCTGGCGCGGGTGTCGGTATTGGGGGCTATGAGGGTCGCAGGGTTTAGGGGTTTAAGATTTAAGCTCAAGGCATTTTTGTTGGGCTTCGCGTTCGATTCATTACGGGGTCCTGTAGGTTTGACTTATCTGCGTCAAGATTCACCCGCCTTGCATCCGTTCCTGCATGAGAGCTTCTTAACGCGCACTCTTATCATCCGGACTCAAAGTTTGTAACTCTGTCGTTTTAGGATCCGCTGAGTTTGGGTTCAGGAAGACTGTGGCAGCCCTGCTTCTCATGTGGTGTTGAAGTTCATGTGTCAGTGCTTCCAGCCGATTCTAGCCGATATCTGGTCGAAAACATACCAAGAGCACTAAGGCCTTATATATGGAAACCCTCTAGAACCCCTTCAGAAGCCGAACGGATTTGGCCCGAACCATAAAGGTCTTGACTCACGCAAGGCAGTGGCAGAAGCAGACGCAGACAGAGGTGCCCCAGCGCACCTCGGACCAGAGAGGTGAGCAGAGAAGGGGGTTTTAAGGGTTTTGGATTCCACGGCCATGTTTCAGTGGTTTAGGGTTTAGGGTTTATGGTTTAGGGTTTAGGGTTACTAAATACCCCAAAGATCTTATTCTCTTGATACTTGATATAAGGCCCCTGTGCTACAACATACGCCCGAGCTTTGTCTGAACTCGGAATCGCTTTAGAAGCCGAAAAGCCCCCAACCCAACACTCCGCCGCAAAAGTCCGAAACTCCAACGCCCCGAAACGAACCCATCGAAGCCCCTGAAGCCTTGAAGCCGAAAGCCTCTTAAGATCCTTACTAAGATTCTTAACAGGCTTATGAAACTGTCAAGAGTCCTCGAAACCGTTCCAACGCCCCTAAATCCCTCAAAAAGCCTTACCCGAAGCCCTAAGCCGAAGCCCTATCCCCCCCAAACCCCAAACCCATCTGATACACATAATTCACCAAACTCCTCAACCACGAACTCCAAACCCTAACCCTAGAAAGAATCCCTATCAAACCGCATTTCCTAAGCCCTACCTTGACCCTGAAGGATCTACCTCTTTAAGGTCTTATAATATACAGAAATCATAATAATGAACCCTAAACAGGTAGGCTAGGGCTTAGGTCTTACCTATAGTCTCCATTTTAGTTCCTTTTCTTGGTTGACCAGTCTTATGGTTAGGATCCAGGGTAAACCCCCCTAAACCCTACCCCTAAATCCCTCAACCCCTAACCCCTAAACCCTATAAGCCCTAAACCATATAAACCCTAAGCCTCGAACTCCTAAGTCCCAAAAAAGCCGAGGATCCTCCGCGCTCGGGTTCGCCTCATAGGCCTCGAAGGCGACTCCGCCAAAGCTTGAAGAAAGGGCTCCCTTCAAAGGGGTTCCCTTAAAGGGATCGGTTTAGGGCTCCCTTAAAGGGGTTCCCTTAAAGGGATGGGTTTAGGGGTTTAGGTTTTAGGGTTTCTGGTTTAGGGTTTAGGGTTTCTGGTTTAGGGTTTAGGGTTTCTGGTTTAGGGTTTAGGGTTTCTGGTTTAGGGTTTAGGGTTTCTGGTTTAGGGTTTAGGGTTTGCTCCTTCAAAAGGATCCTGAAAATATATGTCCCTTGAAAGGGCTCCTTTAAAGGGATCCAGAAAAATGTCCCTTTAAAGGGCTCCTTGAAGGGGATCCTTAAAGGGATCACCTAAACGAAGTGTAAAAGAAGATCCCTTACCGGGATCCCTTAAAGGGATTTTTGAAAGGGAACATTTCAAAAGGATCCCTCAAAAGGGGACAAGGGACCCTTTAAAGGATAAATTGAAGGGATCCTTGAGGATCCCTTCAAGGAGCCCTCAAAAGGATCCTTGAAAGGATGACTTACAGAGATCCATTAAAGAGGGATCCTGCTTTAAAAGGATCCCTTCAGGGAAGTTTAAATGAGATGCTCAAACAAACTTTCACGGGAAGCCTATAACCCCAAGCAGAAGGCAGAAACTCCACCACGACCCCCAACTACCCTCTACCCCAAATACCCAGGCAGTGTTCGGGTCCTGGTAAGCCTATGACCCTAAATTGAAGGAGACTCCGCCTACACCTTCCGAGTATGGCCGGAGCCACCCTGGCGGCACTTTCTGAATGGCTTAGTTTGTGGCTTCCTGTAAGGGAGCTATGAAGGATTGTTAGGGGTACTATAAGGGCTTTAGGGTTTAAAGGGGTCTGTGTAAGAGTAACTCTAAGGGTACTATAAGGGTGTTTGGGTTTCGGATTTAGGGACTTAGCGGGATTTGGATGAAAATACGCTGAAGACCCTACGTATAGTCTCCATTGTAGTTCCTTTTTCTGGGTAACCCAAATCTCCTTCATAGGATCCTAACCATAAGACTGGTCAACCAAGAGAAGGAACTAAAATGGAGACTATAGGTAAGACCTAAGCCCTATACCTGACACCTAACCACCGAACGCGACGCCTTCACCGCAAGGCTCGCGAGAGGCCCTTGTTCTACTATACAGGATTGCAACGCCCCTCCCAACCCCTCGGGGCCAGCCATGAGGAATTCAGTCGGCCGCAGCCTTGTCCCGTCGCCCGCGACACCCGGCGGCATTCTTGGGTGTTTTTTTGGATACGGCTCAGTGTTCCTTTAGGGTGCAGTGGCGCTGGCACATGTAAGTCTCAGTACTGTGGCACAGCCTTCGCATAAAATGGATCGCTTCTGTACGCTACACCGTCATCCCAAGCCCTAAACTTGCCCCAAGCCTAGGATAGCATCTGCTGGTGTGGAGCCGCATAAAGGCTTTCGTAAGGTATTTACGAAGGTTTCGGTAAGGGTTTAAAGTTTAGGATTTTAAGGTTGTATAAGGGTTCCTGCAAGGGTTCTACACGGTTTCTATACAGGTTGGCCTCCTTCAAATCTCGTGTTGTCAGACGTCTTGGCCATTGCTTTCCTGTAGATGCACAAACGGAACGGAATCATGCACCAATACATACCAACACCGACTCTAGTGCAGTAGAGGTTTTGCAAGAAATGGCCATGTACTCGTTTTTAACATGTTCCACGTCGATTATGCCCTGTCACGACAAGTCCTGCGTATGGGACCCTAAACCCCAAAAGCCTAAAGCTCTGGATCAAGCCCCCAGCCCTAACTATGACATCCCCATCGTAAACCCCTGAGCAACGGTTGATGATATAAATCCTGCATGACCCATAATAAGGAATATACCATAATTCCCATAGTTTAGGGCCCTTAAGGTAATGCAGGATTTCTATCATCAACAGAATCACTCAATTTGCAAGGTGCAGCGCTACGCCTGAACTTAAATCCGAGCAAGCCCCAGAACCTTGAGCATGAACCGCTTCACCTGAGGCTAAATCATCTGCCTATAGTCTCCATTGTAGTTCTTTTTTTGGTTGACCAGTTTTATGGTTAGGATCCTATGAAGGAGATTTTGGTTAACCAAAAAAGGAACTACAATGGAGACTATGGGCAAGATCCTGAAAATGAAACCTCAGACTCTAAATCATTGCTGATCCGTTGGAGAGCTCGAATTCTTTGAAGCTCCCCCAAGCCTAGACCGAGCACCCTAATCCCTAAACCTCAGACACTAAAGCTCCAAATGGGAATTTCCGAAATTTAGGGATACCTTATTTTGAGGTCTATATAATAAGGATCCTATTATTAAGGGTACCATGTTATAATAGGGTCCCCTATTTTCGGAAACTCCGAAATCAGAGGCTGGACTGCCGAACCAGCCCGAAGCCGCAGCCGCCGACGAAGCTTTCCCTGGATCTGCTCGGGCCGAACCACGCGCGGCCGCTGGGCGGAGTCTCATAAAGATTTGTATAAGGTTGGGGCTGAGATGATTTGTGGCCCGGTTGGTGCCCGCGTGTGTGAGTGTGTGAGTGAGTGCGTGAGTGAGTGTGGTTTTTGGAAGGTAAAAGGATGTAATTATAAGCCTACCTCTGAACAGGAAAGAAAGGAGAGACAAAGAACAACGCGAAATCCACAGAACAACACCCTAAGCCCAGCCCCCATGAAGCCCTAAAAAGGCTCCGCTGGCGCGTGCCGGATCCCTCTGGCGCCCCTGTCTCGGGAGCTTCCTGCGAGGTGGCGGCTCAGACCGGGGCTCGGAGGAGTATTTGTTACTACTAGGGCCTGAATAATTACCAACACTATTTTGGGGGGGGGTCCTTATTAGACTATTAGACTTTTAGGATAATGCTCCCCGTGACCCTGTCGCAGTTATTACGGCCCCTATATTAGTTGTATTCGAAGCGGGTTTTTGGTACTTGTGTTTGCAGCAGCTAGTAGAAGTGGTAGGCATCGTCGTCTCTGCACTTACCAGGGGCTTTGAAGACACTTCAGCCAGTGCTGTTGACCGTAACTGATGCCGGTTGTGGTCCTTGTGTTTTCTTACTCCACAACTTCTACGTGTTATTGATCTTTGTGTTGTTGTTGACTAGGGCTGCAAGAACACCATCATTACTGCCACTATCAACAGCAAGTACAGCAACATCGTCGTTTTCCTTGTTAAAAATCACCACTGCGGCCACATATAGGAAGAACAGCGTCGACACTTGAAACTCTCAACCAAAAGCCCCAAGCCCTAAGCCCTAATTACTAAAGCCACAACGCCCTAAAGCTAAACCGTCAACATCCCAAGGTCCATGTTTGGTGCCTGGCAGCCCGTCGCAGGATGTGCCCAGGGCACCAGTTGGGGGTTTCTCTTGCGGGGGTATTACCTTAGCCTCGGTGCCTAAACAGTAATGTGACAGTAATGTGTAAGTAGTTCCTTTGGGTGCTTCCATGGGGCTTTCAGACTTGAAAAGGCGAGATCCTATACGACGACAGTACTTGAACGTATAGGGCTTGGAGAGAGCCGAAACAGTCAGGAGTACTGTACTACTCTTTCGTCCTGCGGCTTCCCGCGTGGAATTAGAGTAGTCCACCTTAGACAATGACACGATAGATATATTTAGTGTTAAGGGCCTTTTTTGTGCTAACCGCTGGTTGGACGTTCGGGGGTCGCAGAGTTCGGGACCCGATGTCGGGGGCTGCAAAGATTAGTGCTATCATTCCTGAGGGCACCCTCTGAAAACTACTAAGACCGCTATCCAAACCCTAAGCCCTAAACCCTAAACCCCATTTACCCTTTGCAAACCCTAAGCCCAAAACCCCGGCTTACCCTTTCAAAGGAACCCGAAGCGGAGCCCTATAGGACCACGACCGCAGCGAGCTGGCCGCAACCTTTGGACGCAGGTCGTACTCTCGCTGGAGCCGGCGAAGGACGGATCTCGGAAAGTGGAGCCTCATGGTTGCGGACTTCCGGTTTAGGGTTTCAGGGTTTCGGAAAGCGGAGCGTATGATCTTTGGGCTTTCAAAGTCGAAGTAAAATCACATCCTGTAGCTCACCATTTATAAAGCTCTTCCTGCTTTGCTTTCTCTTACCCCGTGCAAATGGGGACAGAATGATGTAAAGGGAAAACGGGCTGCCTTAGCCTTGATCTGGAACCTAAACCCTAAGCCCCAAACCCTGAACCCTAAACCCGACCAGTGCCTCTGACTTCTTCTCAGGAGTACATCTTCCGCGTGAAGGCACAAAATGCATCCGGAAGCTCCGAATGGTCCGAAGCGCTGATGCTCGGCACGCGAAGTCTGCGAGGGCCGGGCTGAAACCAAATAATTATAAGAAAGAGGTACCCAGAATAGGGGCTACAAAGGAACCTAGTGTTTTCCGATGTGCAGATGTGGAGGGCAATACCTGCCTGCAGCGGCCTCGAAGACATGCAAAAGTAGCGTGGTGTTGACCCGATGGAAGTGATGTTTCTAAGCTTGTAGGCAATGCCAAAAAAATGGACGCTGAGTTTTGCCGACGGGTGAGGCTGTTAAATTTTGTTTAAAACCAATATAGACCAATGCTCAACTTCATCCTGAGCGCTGTCGACTGCCAAAAAACACCAAACCCCAAAGAAGCCCTAATCATTTGGGACATGTGTTAACATATATCCCAGAGCAATGGTCAAGCTTTTAGCGGGGAAATCGATGCGATGACACTTATGTAGCACGATAATCATAACAATACTAACTATTAAGGACAACAATACTATGATTAACAAAGAAATTAAATCTAATAGTTGTAATTACTACTAATACACTAATAGTAGTCTTATTAAAAATACGGCCGCTACTAGCTTTCTTAATGAAAATGTGAATTTTTGATTTTCGAACTCGGGAACCTTAGGCTGAAACGCCGAACCAAGCGCAAGAAGCCTGGGGTACAGGGAGACGAGACGCAGGGAGACTTCGAGGACTACAGGGCCTTAAGTATTAGACCAGGCTTCCTTTAAAGGGGGCTGTAAGGGCTATTAGGGTTGCATGTCAAGGGCCTTAATAATTTGAATAGGGTTTGGAGTATATTAGACTAGAATGGCATGTCATGAAGCCCGAAAACCCTATTCTACTTATGTAATATGGCCCCTACATAACCCTCAGACTAGACCCCAAACTCCCGCAGTCTTAGGGAACTAGCTACAAATCTGAGATCCCATCCGAAGTCTTTAACACCTTGAGGGTTCAGGGAACTCGAACTAAAACTCTGAGATCCCAACTGAAGTCTCTAAACATCTGTAAAAGTCTTGCACAAGCACTCCTAAACACAAGCCCCCAAACCATGAAGGCCTATAGTAGCCCGGGGAAGGCCTAGGATCCTGAAACGTAAACCGCCGAGCCTTTCCCCAACATCCTAACAATCGAAAGCCAACATCCCTAAAGCCTTGAATTGAACCCTGAAGCATCTCAGCCGAGGGTTTGGAGCATACCCACTCCGCCGACCATCTCCCAGCCCCTTGTGACGGGGTTTGCGGCTTTGTTGGTCTATTGATTGGGGTTCACAGGGTTTTGGGTGCATGGTTGGGTGCATGGCTTTCGGGTTTATGGGGTGAGGGCAAAGGTTCAGAGCTTGATGGTTGGAAGGTTCACGGCTTCAATTTTGGTGGCCTGGGTTCATGACATCTTCAGTATTTTGTTTATATATATATATATGTGTATTTAAAATTCATACTATTTCCTCTGTTGGCCCTTGGTTCTATGTTTGCGGATGGAGGGCCGCAGTCGAAGTCTGAGCTCAGAGTGTGTCAGCAGAAGATACAAGACCCTCCGGAGTCTCGATATCCATATACGTATGTTCATCCGCATGTGTATATATGTATAACTATAGACATATACGCAATCAACATACGGTGTCTGTATATATGTGTGTATACAAATCTGTTTGTATACATATATATATATATGTATATATATGTATATGTGTTACAATGCGAACGGACTGCGATGCCTTGTCAAGTTCTAAGGTGTCACTATAAGAGCTGTGAGCAAGACCGTGTAAAGTGCAAGAGAAGGGGGCACGCTACGCGTCCCTCGACTCTAGAGGGCATGCTACGCATCCCTCATCTTTACCTTTCCATGTGACCGCCAACGCAACGTTTGGCTCAAGTCAATGCCCATAGCTAAGTGCTATATGTGTCTTCTATCCTGAGCAATCAGAGCTATCCCGTTGCACAGACGAACCGCCGCCGGCAGTGAGTGCAAAAGGAACGGCCGCCGGTTCTGCCTGCATAGGATCGCACGTGTGGAAGTAAGAGGGAGAGACAGGGTCCAGTCTGTGGAGAGTGCTAGCCAGCCACACCTACATTCATTACAGCTCTGGTGGGGAGAGCAGCAACCAAGTCGAGATCAATCCCCCACGCAGGTTATCAGCCGTACGCGGCTCTGCCTTTCTACAGCAACGACTACTTGATCTACTACGACCACAATGAACTCAGGATCAAGCCAAGATACGACAATGACTTTCGGTGCCGATGTGGCAGCGCCAGCCGTTGGTGAGTCAACAGCTGACGACACAGTGGTGCAATCCGTTGATAGCTCCACGGAAGATGACAAAGGTCAATCTTCTGCGCTTGCCATTGCAAAGGCAGTTCCCAAGGGGAAAGCAAAGAGTCTACCAAGAGCATCTACGCCTTCGCGTCCGACATCCACAGGTTCGAGGACGGGCAAGGCTTCAGAACGACGGGCCGAAGCGTCTGGTTTTCAGGCACCTCGGACTACGTCCAGGGCCAAGGACAAAGGAGTCAAGACCTTGGAAAAGAAGTCAAGGCCATCATCTTCGAGAAGCTCTTCAGCACGATCGAGGACTTCGGCTACCCGTGGGCGCGACAAGTCCATGACTTGGAATCGGATGGTTACCAATCAACCACGCGATGCTGACGATCTGGACATGACTCTGGATACGATTCCTGCGCGTGGTGATGCGTCATCCGTGGCTACGCCTGCAATAGCTGATGGTCCGGATGCCTACCAGGAACTGACGATTTCGCAACAGTTCGAAGCATCGAACCTTGCACAGCAGATGTACTATCGCAGTCAGGTGCAAGAATACGAAGGAATCGTCCAGACCCTGATGGACAAGATCAAGGAGATGCAACAAGAAGATGAAGGATCTGGAATTCGCATTGAGGAATTGGAACGACAACGTGACCATGCATGCTTAGCCATGAGGCACATCAACAATGTCAATCAGGAGATGAAGCGAGACTATGAAACAGCTTTGTTTCGCATGGATGAACAGAACTCTGCTCAACAACGTCAAGCACATGCCGTTGCCGAGGAGTTAGCTCAACAGCTACACGTGTTCCGCACGGAGGCAGCCACCAACTTTGTGCAGTTGGAGGCAAGAGCGCAAGGCGATGGTGAGCTTATGGCACGTGAGTATGAGCGTCTGACTCATGAACTTCATGAACACGCCAGAGAGAACTTGGTCCTCCGGTCAAACACAGCAAGTTCGGAACAAGCCTTACAAGCAATGCAGGAACGATTCCACTTGGTCAAGAACCAGGAGTTGCGGGCTGTGAACGAGATCCAAGGGCTAGCTGGAAACAGCGCAGCCATTGAACAAGAACGATTTCGGCTTCGCGAACGTCTTGGTGAAGAGGAAGAGTACCGCAAAATGGCTGTGAAGAGGATGCAAGAAGCAGAGGACCGACTTCATCAGAATGAAGATCATGCAAGGCGATCATTGCCTACCTTGCACGACGAGCTGAGTGAACTCAGGAAAACGCTCAAAGCACAAGAAGATCTTCAAGCGAGGACACGCAGCGAATTGGAGGCAGCGCGAAACTCCAATCAAGGAGGAGCGACGCGACCTTCGAGCATGCCCATGTCTTCGAGGACTACTGAGTCTGGCTGGGAGCACGTAGGAAAGGAAGTAATGCCTGCATTTTCCGTAGGAGATGAGGTACGATCCCCTGAAATACGGTCCCCAAGTCAAGTTAGTCCAGTCGCCAAAGAGAAGTTCGCATTCTCGGAATCGGACAAGGACAAGAACCTTGTGATGGATGGAATTCCATTCACCGGTGGAAACTTCTTCACTGGCCGCAGTTCAATGCCAATCGTGGCGGATGCAATGCCCGAGCACTACGTGCCAGGTGTTAGCAGCCCAGCACTTGCGCGTTCCACGCCTAGTGCAGCCACTTTGTTCGGCATACCAAGCGGATTTCATGGGAAAAGTGATGCGGCAGCCGTGCGCGATCGACAGCTACGCGAACTCTTGGGGGATCGCGGGATGTTGGGATCGAAGTCCACAGCATCGGCCAGCTCCTCAAGACCTGTTGGTATCGACGGTGTTACCGCATCTACGAAGGGTAACGACCTCATCGGTCCCCCTATTGCCTATGACGATTCCATTCATGAAGCAAGAAGACGTCAGATCGAGAAAGAGATCGCGGAACAGTACGAAGAGAAGATTGCTGATCTGCGAAGTGAAGTACTCAAGGCTCAGAAAGCCGAACAACGTCTCAGAGCTGATCGTGATGAGTGGAGATTATTCGCTGAAACGATTCAGGAAAACCAAGGGGACGATGACGGTGATGAAGCTGGCGACGAGAACGGAGAGGACGAGCATGATGAAGGAACCGGCACTGGGTATGATCCTCCAGATCCGCCTGATGATGATGATGACAAGAAGAAGGGCGGAGGGGGCAAACCTGAATCGGATCCTGGTTCGCATGCACGCGATCCTGATGGAGATGCGGATCCTGAAGTCACAGAGGTGAGAATTTCCAGGAGGGAAGCCGACAAAGTGACCGTTCCTCCATGGCCTACTCTCACTCATCTCAACAACTGGCGATCCGTGTGCACGGCCAATGTCTTAGGGGCATCAGCCGACCCACATCATGAGGACTGGATGTTATGGCTGGCACCAGCGTTCAACCCATTCCCTGATGTCGAAGCATTGAATGATTCAGGACACAAGAAGTTCAAGAGCATAGACGTCAAATTGGGGATCGCCATGGTCGCAATGCTACGTGCCGGTGGTGACAAATCAGCTGACCTGTACCTCGAGGTGAACCGGAAGGCCAACGATTACATCAGCAGGCCTGACGTGAAGATCATCAAAGGACGACAAGTCATCGCGATGATGTACGAAAGTTTTCGAACGCATGATCGTCTTGACATGATCATCACTCTTGAGTATTTGGTGAAGCTCCAGTACCAAGGCGACAACAAGCTTCATACGTTCAAGCAGACGTGGTTGGAAGTTCTGGGACGGATGAGACCAGAGGACATTCCATCCAAAACAGCTCTCCGTGATTGCTTGTACAGCAAGATCAAGGACTCGCCCGCAATGAAGATGGAGTTGGGCATGCATTACGAACACTTGCCCTACAATCATGAAGACCGATCGTACGACAACCTGATGAAGATCATTGATCGTACTATCATGCGGAGACGAGAACAGTCGAATCTCACTCAGACCCAAATTGGCTTGCGCCAGATGCTTGAGGGCAAGGATTTGCTTGCTGCACCGGCCAAGGTACCCGAGAAACCTACGCCTAACGCAGCTCCATCCGCAAAGGTCAAGGCTTCGCCGACCAAGCCGGATAAAGCAACACCTGTACTACCTCAAAGCAAAGCGAAGAGTCATGCGAAGACCAAGCCAAAGCCCAAGAAGAAGACGAGGAGTGAGTCAGCGGACAACAGAGGTGACAAAAGCAAGAAGCAAATCCGCTGCAAGTTCCATTTCACAGATGCAGGGTGTCGAAATGGCGATAAGTGTCCATTCAGTCACTCGAAGAAGACTCCAGAGCGACCCTTCACGCCGAGGACGAGAACTCCAAGTCCATCTGGAGGAGGAGGAAACAGGATATGCTACTCGTTCAAGAACACAGGCTCGTGCTCAAGAGAGAATTGTCCTTTCAAGCATGAGGCAGCAGCTACCCCAGCTCCGGAACCAAAGGCAAAAGCTAAAGCTAAATCCGAAGCGAAGGCAGCTCCAGCGAAGCCGAATGCCAAGGCCAAGGCACTCCCTGCGGCACCCGCCATCAGATTGTGTCGAAGGTGGAATCCATCAGCTCCGGCTATATGGAAGCGATCTTCAAGACAAGATGAGGAGGAGTCGGATTGTCCACCCGTAGACAGCGACGCTGATTCGGATTGTTCAACAGATGACGAATCCTCGGGAACGACTACGTCGACCCGAAAAGTGATAAAGCGCAATGTGACATTTGCCAACGACGTGAAGTTCATTTCTTCGTGTCCTAGAAGATCGAAGAAAGACAAAGAGCGGAAGGTGAAGTACGTCGACATGGAAGCGTTTATCAATGATGAGGATCGCGCCGTGAGCTTGGAATTCGCCAAGCACAAAGCGAGATTGAGGGCACAGATCATGAGAGACATGGTTGACGACGATGATGATCAATGCGGAGATCGAGTTTCATTCGTACGAATCCCAGGAACGTCTCGAGTGGAAGAAGTTTCGTTCTACGACGGTGAAGATTCCATCG